AATGCCCCAGTTTTCGACATAACGTGATAGCCACTGTGACAATCTTTCGTGAGGAATTGTCCTGGGTTTCCAAAGTGCCACAGTGACTATCTCGAAAGGATATTTTTGGATTTTGGAGAAGTTTCGAGTTTCCAAAATAAAAGGGGAGCCATTTCCATGGAGGATTCCGGATCACCACACAATAAAGGTAGAAAAACATAGAACTGAAAAGCAAGCAAGTGGATACATACCATTCTCCCTGGAAAAAGGTCAGTCATCAGTCAAGCCCCAAAATTTGCTTGTAAGGCTTACCATTGAGCAACCGGTGAAAGGAGCGATGTATTGAAGGGGAGCAGCTTCAGAAGCCGTAGCAGCGACAACGATGGTGTACTTCATGGCGTCGTTCTCCTCAAGGGTCTTGACGAGCTGAGCGACGGTGGATCGCTTCTGACCAACAGCGACGTAGATGCAGTAAAGCTTCTTGGTCTCGTCGGTACCTAGCACTTGTCAGTCATCAATATAGTGTAATTGATGGAGTTCCCTACCCTTGTTCCACCTGTTCTGATTGAGCATGGCATCGAGAGCGACGGCAGTCTTTCCGGTCTGACGGTCACCAATGATCAACTCACGCTGACCACGTCCAATGGGAACCATGGCGTCGACGGACTTGAGACCAGTCTGTACGGGCTGGTTGACGGAACGACGGGGCAGGATACCGGGAGCCTTGAGCTGAGCACGGCGGCGCTCAGTGGTCTTAAGGGGACCCTTTCCATCGATGGGGTTGCCGAGAGCGTCAACGACACGTCCAAGGAGAGCCTCGCCAACGGGAACGTCGACAATCTGTCCGGTACGCTTGACAGTCTCGCCCTCCTTGACCAGACGATCGGAACCGAAAAGCACAACACCGACCTGGCCGGCTTCCAAGTTCATGCACATGCCCTTGACACCGGAAGCGAACCTGAGCCATTGTTAGCAAGGCCCCGTGGGGAAATGTGGACTTGGCGTACTCGACAAGCTCTTCGGCCTGGACATTGTTCATGCCATGGACACGAGCAATACCGTCACTGTTCTGCAGTCAGCTTCCCTGCCTATTCTATTCGCATTGGCAATATGGCTTACCCGACGGAGAGAACACGTCCAGTCTCGGAAAGGCTGGTCTCCTCCTGGACACCGCGGATCCTCTGCTCGAGGATGGAGGAAACTTCCGTTGGGGCCGCCTTTGCGTCGGAAGCGTAGAAGCGCGTAGCGTTGGTGAATGCGGGAGCGCGAGTCTGTTGGTAGAAAAAAGCCGTCAGCGCTGCATCTTCGGAAGAGGGGAGCTTGGTCCCGCCGCAGTAATGCGCAGACCGCCCACTTCCATCAACGAAGCGCCATTGTGGAGCCAATGGCATCGGAAATCGGTTCTATGAATAGCGGACGATGGCTGGACCGAGGGAAGGCGCAATTGCAGGCAGTTGCGATGGACTTACCGAAGCAATCCTGCTGGTGGCAGAGATTGCAGCGACCCGGCGGCTCGACTGGCGGATGGCCCTTGAGAACATGGCTGCAGCTGCTCAAGAGACTATTTCGGTAGCTCTGCAACCAATTGAGATTGATGCAGGTATGAAAGAGGGGAGATGGTGATGGAGTTGAAGATGGGAGCTCTGCTGTGAGGAAGAAAGTCCTGCGGTTCGGAAGGAAAGCGCGGACCTTGGCGTCGACCACTAATCCTAAAAAAGCCGCTTCTCAACCGAGCTCCAACTTTACAACGACATCCACGCTCAAATTCAAGGAGATTTGGCGAGGTCACGAGATGCAAAATCAAACTCTAGAGGCCTCAATTGCTAACAAGAAAGCCGCTGGCCTCCTCCAATTCCTATTCCAGAGTGGCTACTGTGTGGAACACAAGCTCACATCCCACAAGCTGCCTTATCGATTGGCTGTCACAACGTCGACATATAGTGCAAGGGTCGAACCCTCAGCCATGAGGATATTGCTTGGAAGGCCCACAACGTACTTGCAAAGAAAAGACATCTTACAATGAATTGGCACACGTTAACACAATAGTCTGAGCGAACAACGTTATAGATTGGTATCCTACTATGTTGCAACCCCTTCAGTAGAAATATACAGACAAAATGTGCAAAACTAACAACCATAGGCGACACAACTCCATATACGCCTTGCACCATGCAATGCTCACTCTGCTATAGTATCCATACATTACATGCGCATCCTAGGGCAGTGCCGCCTGAACGCATCCTTCTATTATCTCTGATAGAGACATCACCACGTCTCACTTGTGCTCTGGCCATGACATCCATACTTCAAGTATCGATTTATTTTGCAGAGCCATTCTGACCCTTTTCCTTGCTCTTCTGAAACTTCTGGATCTCCTGCTCAACAGCCTGGTCTATACGACGCTTGAGGTCTGGACGGTAGCCGAGCATGAAGAGAACCTCGAACCAGACAAAGAACGGAGCCAAAAAGATGGCTTGAATGAGATTGTCTAGCAATGCTGGCGCCCTTCCCTCAAACTTTCCATGTCCGATAAACTGCGCAATCCAGCATGCAATGTTGATTGCGCCAGCCCAAGAGTTGGCTGACGCGCCATACGTGGACGTGAGGTGGTTCGCATAAGCGGTGCTACCGATAAGGATCGGGGCAATCATGGCTCCTGCGACAGGTTCCATGAGGACATATAGGGTGGAGTAGAGTACAGCTCCGGCAGTGCCGACGTTGAGCGGGAGATTGGGAACGGAAAGCCATGATGGCAGCGGCACGGCCGGTGTGTTGGTGAGCTATAGTTCGGGTTAGTGGGGCTTGGGCAGTGACAATTCAGGGGCCATACCAGGAGAAAAGATGTCAAGAGGATAGGAGGCACGCAAAGCATATGTATCCCCACGTTAACCTGATGGGCAGCGCGTTAGCTGACATGTGAAAACGGCCGGGCGGAAGAGGCCTACTTTGTTATGGTGGTATGCTCCATACTACTGTCCAGTTAGATCAATACATGTGTCGATTGTAGAATGACGTACAAAGACAAGCTGTTTCTCCAGATTCAGAGACATGGTGCCGGATGCGGAACTTGAGCTCGTGTTGGCGTTGCGAGAGGGTGTCAAGCGACTAAATCATATCTTGGAGATGGGGGATGCGAGCGCTCGGCGAGTTGCGGGAAGTCAGGGCAGCGTCCGTGGAAGCCCGAGGATGTGCGGATGGCGCAAAGTGAACGTTAGTATCACGGCATGGGTGTGTGGGGGTGCGCAAGCTGGCAGGTGGGAGTCTGGTCACTGCTTGGGCCTTAGCGAATGATTTTCCGTGCCGAGAGCCCTGGAGCCCTGCATCTTCGGGAGCTCAACGCTCAAGTCGCAGCACTCGACTGTTTTTCCCCAGCCCTCCACCAAACTTCCCCGAATCCGCTACCGCTGTATCCCCGGACTACCACAAGCAGCGCGCATACGTTGTGGGCTGTGTGCATGGGCTGCTGGATATAATAACTAGGGCTGGCTTGCAGGCCGAGGGCGCGTCTCGCTGAAACACGCGCGCTGGCTACACTATACTGTCGACTCTTTACTAGGCCCGTCAGAATAAAGACTTTTAGAGTCGCGTAATACCAAGGAGCACCGTCTGGCTTTCTTTGCCTTCTACCTCCATCTACCCTTCACCTGTGCTGCTCCGTCCATATTCTCCAAGAAAATCGCGCGCATCTAGTCTACCCTGTCCGTCAAGCCAGTCGCATACAACACAATATGTTTTTTCTCAAAGAACTCGAGAAGACGATCCAGCTGCATCCGTCGTACTTTGGTCCTCTGATTCGCCAGCACATCCACCGCGAACTGTTGCAGAAAGAGGAGGGATCGAGTACTGGAAAGTACACCATAGTGTGCATCTTGGACTCTTTCGACATATCCGATGGCAAGGTCATGCCTGGCTCCGGCTCGGCTGAATACGTTGTACACTACAAGGCAGTCGTGTGGAGGCCGTACAAAGGCGAGGTGGTATGTGCAAACTGGGGGTGCGACCGCGGAATGCTCAGCTAACCGTGTCAAGATGGATGGCATCGTCACCTCAGTACTCCGCACAGGTTTCTTCGTAGACTGTGGGTCTTTGCAAGCATTCGTAGGGCGAAGTGTAATATCTCCCCTCCCTATGTGTCTCTCCATTCACTGACAGGGACTAGATGATCCCTGCCGAGATCAAGTTCGACGCGAACGCCACACCGCCGCAATGGACCGACGATGGAGAACAGGTTATTGAAAAGGGCACCAACATCCGTATCAAGATCAAGGGTCTGAGATCTGAAGTTGATAAGATGTACGCTGTAGGCACAATGAAGGAGGTAGGAACTTTCAGAGCCAATCCTAATGACTACCCACTAAGCAACACTTCAGGATTACCTTGGCCCGCTGCCGTCTTAGTCAAATGGTAAAGCATATTATGCTTGACATGGGCGATTCTTCTAGCCAAAGCTCTACGCTAGCACTCGATACTTCCCAGATTCCCCAGGCCTAACATCTTCCTATGATAGTTCTTCGGACAAGCATTCTGCAAGATAGTTATGGCCTTGGTTTAAGTATTCTCTAAGTCACATCAGTAAAAGATTAGGGGACGTTGTGTCACTCAACAAATTGGCCACAATTTCATTCAAGTGAGAAAGCTCCAGAGGCTCGGCTTATCACGATTGCAAGGAGGGGCCTAATGAGTTTCAAAGTTGGAAGGAACAAGCGGAAATTATGCCGTTCTAAATTTGTCCTAGTTTGGACTTGAATAGAAATTTATCTCTTGGATTCTTTGTGTTGCGTTGACGTTCCCCCCTTGCATCAAAGAGTGGCTTGGTATGTTTCGGGCCAACTCCAGCTCTGACACCTCCGCGTGAACTCCGCACCTCCGCATGCTAGCCCATACGTAGCCCCTAACTACACCTCGCAGCCGTATACCAATTTCTGGAAGTGGTCTACCGCGATCTGCATTGCTCTTTTATCAGGATGCGTTGATTCCCAAAGTGATCCTGTTCCTTTTAAATTCACCACGTTACAGCTACGATGCCGCGACACCGCTCCCTTCCTGAAGAGGAAGCGGAGCTTCTAACCAAAGACGAGCGATCCGCGCGCGCCTCAGAAGACGAGTCTGATGCCTCTATATCGTCCATATCCACCACGTCGCTAGTTCTTGAACACATCAACAACCCAGCAGTCACTGGTGCATCGCGTTTAAATCGTGGAGAAAAGTACACCGACGACGACGATGCAAGTCACCCACACGAACAGTTTGACATCGAGGGCGCACAATACCGCGCCCCAACAGGGGTAGATAAGAAGACGCGAAGATGGTTATGGATTGTAGGCACAGCATGCGTAGCAGGATGGACGCTTGCGCTGGTGTTCTTCTTGATGAGCGGCACCTACAAGCCTGTCTCGAGCCGACCACACGACCCTCTCGCGAGCTCAACAAAGGGTTCCGGAAAGAAGATTACTATGGATGATGTTTTGGGTGGTCGATTCTATCCCCAACAACAGAGCGTCGAGTGGATAGCAGGCCCATCGGGCGAGGACGGCTTGTTGCTTGAGAGAGACTCTGGGAAAGAGGGATACTTGGTAGTCGAGGATATCAGAAGCAAGGGCAATGCAAGGGCTACAAACGCACAAACCACCCTTATGAAAGAAAAGAGCTTCACGGTGGACGGGACATCTGTTTATCCTAACGACGTTTGGCCAAGCAAGGACTTCAAGAAGGTACTCGTCCTGTCGAATTACCAGAAGAATTGGCGACACTCTGGTACGGGCAAGTACTGGATATTCGATGTCGAGACACAAACTGGTGAGCCTCTGGATCCTCAAAACCCAGGAGCTGTGATCCAACTGGCCTCCTTGTCACCGCAATCGGATGCGGTCGTCTTTACAAGGGACAACAACATGTTCTTGCGCAAGTTGGATTCCAAAGAGGTCGTCCAAATCACCAAGGACGGTGGGACTGAATTGTTCTACGGCATCCCTGATTGGGTATATGAAGAGGAGGTCTTCCAAGGCAACAGTGCAACATGGTGGTCTGAAGATGGCAAGTACATTGCCTTTTTGCGCACAGATGAATCAACCGTTCCGACGTACCCGGTCCAATACTTTTTGTCACGGCCCAGCGGAGAAAGGCCCAAGGCTGGCGAAGAAAACTATCCCGAAGTTCGCGAGATCAAGTACCCCAAGGCTGGTGCGCCAAACCCGATCGTATCACTACAATTCTATGACGTTGAAAAGGGCGAAGTTTTCAGTGTCAAAATTGAGGATGATTTCCCAGATGACAACAGGCTAATCACCGAGATCGTTTGGGCGGGCAAGACAAAGCAGGTACTTGTTCGGGAAACGAACCGTGAGAGCGATGTCCTCAAGCTAGTGTTGATGGACGTCGAGCAACGTACTGGAAAAACCATCAGGACCGAGAACATTGCGGAATTAGACGGTGGATGGTTTGAGGTTTCGCAAAAAACTACTTTTGTACCAGCAGATCCTGCCAACGGTCGTGAGCACGATGGCTACATCGACACTGTCATTCATGAGGGTTATGACCACATTGGCTACTTTGCGCCTTTGGACAGTGACAAGCCTGTATTGCTCACCCAGGGCGAATGGGAAGTTGTCGAGGCGCCGTCCCGAGTGGATTTGAAGAACAACTTGGTCTACTACATTTCCACAGAGAAAGACTCCACAGAGCGACATGCATACTCTGTGTATCTGAACGGCACCGGGAAGAGTGAAGTCGTAGAGAATAGCGGTTCAGGGTACTATGACGCATCATTCTCGGCCGGTGGTTCATACGCCTTGATATCATACAAAGGTCCTGGAATTCCATGGCAGAAGATCATCAGCACATCAGCAAACAAGGAGAAATACGAAAAGACAATCGAAGAAAACAAAAGCCTCGATCGCTTAGTACGCCAACTTGAGTTGCCAATTCTCAAATATCAGACAATTGACGTTGACGGTTTCAAACTAAACGTTCTCGAACGCCGCCCACCACATTTTGACGAGAAGAAGAAATACCCAGTGTTGTTCTACCAGTACAGCGGTCCAGTTTCACAGGAAGTGAACAAGCGGTTCAAGGTTGATTTCCAATCCTACATTGCTGCGAGTCTTGGATACATTGTTGTCACTGTAGACGGACGCGGTACAGGTTTCCTCGGTCGTAAGATGCGCTGCATCACTCGGGGGAATCTTGGATACTATGAAGCGCACGACCAGATTGCAGCGGCTAAGATTTGGGCGAGTAAAAAGTATGTTGATGCTGATAGGTTGGCTATATGGGGTTGGAGTTTTGGAGGCTTCAACACCCTAAAGACCCTTGAGCAGGATGGAGGAGAGACGTTCAAGTACGGAATGGCCGTTGCGCCTGTTACCGACTGGCACTTCTACGACTCCATTTACACAGAGCGCTATATGCACACGCCCCAGAACAACCCCGAAGGCTACGAAAACTCGACCATCACAGACGTGAGATCGCTCGCGAAGAATGTCAGGTTTCTTATCATGCACGGTGTTGCCGATGACAACGTGCACATGCAGAACACACTTACTCTACTGGACCGGTTGGATCTTGCAGGCATTGAAAACTACGACGTACACGTGTTCCCAGACTCGGACCATAGCATCTACTTCCACAACGCCAACAAGATTGTCTATGATAGTAAGTGATTTTCTTGGTTATGCAAAAGTTAATGCTGACGAAGACGCAGAATTGAGATGGTGGCTTATCAATGCGTTCAATGGCGAATGGTCGAGAATTGCAAATGCAAGTCCAAAGGCACAGATTGATGCCAAGTCGGTAGAAAAGTAAAGAGCGCTTTTGGTAATGGGCGTTTTGGGGCGTTGCATTTAGCCATTGTACATGTTCAGTATTACGCAATGAAGATCATCTGTCTCGAATGAGATGACCAAGATTGGGAGGGTTTATGGTCTAGTACGCTCCAATTTGTCACACAGTACCGTATTTTCTACTATTAGGCATCCAAGATGTGTCTCTAAAAGCTAGGCCCAATTCCGCAGTCACGGAGCCCATGGAACGGACTCACCCGCTTCAGGGTCCGAAACTTTGTCATCCTAGATGTGCCTTGATACTATGTTGAGCTCTAGAATCTGACCCCCTCTCTGTGAACCCCACTTTTGGTTGTTGGATAAAAGAGCAACCATGACACCCTTGACAGATGACATACGCCAATTGTTTCGCGACTCTTTACATTTACGTTACACAAGCATACAATAAATCTCAAATTACATAAGATGAAGTTCTCACCAAGCGACCTAGCCATCTGCGAAACGTGCGGGACACAATACGACGTTCCATTGTCGCAGCACCCTGAAACATGCCGCATCTGCGATGTACGTCATACCAGTCTTTACCAATCAATCCATTCCTAATTCCTCAAACACCAAAAAAACAGTCAACTCCAAGAGGTATACAAAACCTAACACGCCATAGGATCCCCGTCAATACGTCCCAGCCTCCGGCCAATCCTGGACCAATCTCGCCAACAGCCAACAGACCCAGAAAAACGTCTTTGAAACCGACCCCAAGGATGCTCGAATCCACTACATCAGCACTCAACCTCTAACCCCTTCGGAGCTGCCTGCCGGTCTCGCCGATTCCAGCACTACCCGCAAGCAACTCGGTATCGGACAACGCGCCATCTTGCTCCAGACAAGCCACGGCAACGTACTCTGGGACTGCATTGCGCTGCTGAACCCACAGACAATCGACTTTATCAATTCAAAAGGCGGGCTGAAAGCGATTGTAATTAGCCACCCGCACTTCTACACCACGCACCTTGAGTGGGCAGAGGCATTCGGGTGTCCCGTGTACACATGCCGCGACGACGCTCAATGGCTTAACCGCGAGGACAAGCGTGGGGTGAGGAAGCTGGTGGGTGGTGTAACGCCGATTGAAGAGGTGGAGGGGAAGGTTAAGATGGTACAGTGTGGTGGCCATTTTGAAGGGAGTTCGGTGGCGCATTGGGACGGGAAGTTGTTTATTGCTGATACGTTTATGAGTGTGCCTGTACGTCTTCCCTTTTACCTTGCCGCGTCTAGGTCAAACTGATGGCTAATCAAAACACCGTAGTCTGGCTTCAGCAACGCCCAACGTATCCCGGATACAACATCTTATTCTTTCATGTGGGCGTATCCAAATATGATACCTCTACCTCCGCCTGCTGTGCTGGCTATTTGGAAGGCGATTAAGCCGTTTGAGTTTGACAGTACGTATGGAGGTTTTGCGGGGCAGAATTTGAGCCGTCCGGATTTGAAGGCGCAGGTACTGGAGAGTATGAAGATTTTTCTGAGGAGGGGTGGGCATGAGGGGGCGGAGATTTTTGGGGAGAGTGTGTAGGTTGTGTAGGAGAGCGGTAGGAGTGTTGGCGACATGGAATTTACGTGTAATGTGTATTGGAAGACTGACGACTTGTATTTTTTCCTACCATTTCTCTATGAATAACATATTTGCTCAAATTACTATGGTACCTTTGCACATCCTGCTTGCTTTCCACGAGGAAAAATGGGTCTCCTTTACTGACTCTTGATTTTGAGCATTCAGGTCCGTTTCTTATGCTTTGTACCCACAATCATAATCCTTTTAGCTTCCAATTCTGTCACATACGACCATAGGAAGCTGAAAGCAGAATTCCCCGTTCGATCAATTGTACTTAAGCAGCTTACCGGCGGATTAGTAGTCAGGTGGGTGACCACTGGCGAATCCCCGCTGTCGTATGTCTTTTTTTTTGCACTCGGTGGAGTCCATGTCACGTGTCGTATACTTGGCATTATTATTTTTTGAATTAATACGAAACAGTCGACTCGGACATCGTATGTCAATTGCAGAATTGATGTAGGGAAAAAAGCAATGGAATCCGGCCGGTCAGGTTAGAGTGGTTATGAAAATAGCAGAGGATGCATGTACTGGTGTTGCAAATCATTGAGGGGTTCCAAGTAGCCGGGTCCAGCGGATGAGGCTCAGCGATTGACTGCGCATACTTTTTGTGCAAGGGGTGGGGGGGGGGAAAGGTTAATATATTGCAAAGCTAAACACAACCGGAGTCCGAGTGGATTTGGGGGCCACGGAGTGTACACGAGCCGGATAGCGAAAATTCCTTGTCTGGGAGATGGATAGAGAGGGATGCAGGATGAGTTTTACTCAGCCTCACGAATTCTTTGTGTATACCAAAAATAATTCGCAATGCAGCGTACCCCGCGGGTTGCTGTTGCCGTTGTCTGTGCAGCGCACAGTGTGACCAGTGCAGATGTGTGCGGACAAAGAAATATATGTTCAGCTTGGTACGAGAGGGAACTGGTGGTGCTTGTTAAAGAGGTTCGACTGGTATTGTTTATTACTATTGTGAATGCACACACATTTTGCTGTCGGATTAGTCCCCGTTTCCATTACTATACTGCCTGTCACGATGCCGCATGTTGTAGAAGACTACTACGACATGCCAATTGAGCTGCTGCCGAGTGCAAACTTTGCAGGCCGGCCGACGAGTGACATCGATATGCTGGCTGGACTCTGGGCGACGGCTGCTAGTTACTATTCGAATTTTTCATCTTCCGAAGACGAAGCCGATGTGAATGGTCATGACGACAACGACAGAGACGATAAGGTCTCACCGCAACGGATAGATGAATGCCGTGTATCACCACCCCCGCCAACGGAGACAAAGTCAAGAGAAGAAAGACCGAGTACGACGATTACATTGCCCCCCGCCGATGACATCAGAGCGAGCAGCGGTGTAGTACGAGGTCTGGCTCGGGCACAACTCCGGAGAAAAGCAAATTCGGCGCCATATGGCAGCTTGGAATCACGTGCTTCACCGCTGGTTGAAGCGGTTGAAGCGGTTGGAGAGGGGCGAGTAGGCGGTGTTGGTGGGCTAGGGTACTTTGATACCATTCGGAGAAAGTACAGCAACAACAGGGAGAAGGAGGGAGAGCAGAGGAGAAAGAAGCGGGTCCGGTCATGTGACGTGAATACGAGTAAGGAGAAGAGAAGGATGATGGGGGAATTACTAGCAGATGCACAGGCACAAGGCAGCGGGGCAGCAATTTCTCCTAGTGCAAAGCAATCTTGCACGTCTTTGGCGCAACAGACGCGCGTCGGGCCAAAGCGGCAAGGCAGGCAACTGGCGACGCTCGACACGGACGTTGCAGGGTACGAGTTGAGCAGTATCAGAGGACGAGATACTACCACAGCGACCACAGTAGCAGGGTCGCCAAGCTCGGTACTATCGACACCCCAGGAATTGTACGCGATTGGCAAAGGGCATGCCGCGAATGAAACATTAGGCAGTCCACAGGTGTGGTATGCTCGGAACGGCAACCCGGCCAATATCATGGTGATGGCCGACAAGATGTGCTCGCCCTCGTCGCCTTCAAACAGGCGATGGGGTGGGAATAGTACTACAATTACGCACTCAGACACGGTCACGCAGCACAGGCGCAGCAGCGTTGACGTGGCTGGCGGGCGGATCATCTATGTGCCGGGAACCATGATGCTTGCACGGGAGCCAGTAAGGCAGCGCAGAGACTCTGTTGCAACAGCACTTGATGCATGCACGTTTGATGGCACCAAATTAGCATCCGAGGAGAAGCGTTACGCGGAGCTGGTGGGGCTCGAGGAGGATGTGGTCACGTTCTTTGAAGAGTTGGGCGTTGTTGCAGAAGCGACAGAGGCTTCGCTGGATAGGTATTGGCTGTGCAATGGCAGGTGCAGTGCGAGTGTCGAGAAGGAGGGCCATGATGACAAGGCAAGCCTATCAAGCACAGCAAGCGTGAGTGTGGGCGAGGCAGAGTCGAATAAGGGACAAGGCAAAGGCAGTCGGGCGTCGAGGTTCTCCTTCTCGTCGTCAGCGTCGTCATGCTCGGCACCTGTGTCAACGCATCGACACAGGCGTAAGCGGAGCAGGCTGATAGAGCTGCTGCTGTCGCCAGGAATGCCTGGTGCGGTGTCTGTCAATGCCCCTGCGAGCTAGGAAGGGCAGAAGCAGTATAGATAATTAAACCTTGTGAAATGAACGTGGTATTTGACGCGATTCAGACGGGCGATCCGGGGTTTGACAAGATGTGCACCAACCAGAAGCGGTAGTTCACGACAGGATGGGGGACGTGGTGGTTTGCAGAGCATTGCCAAAGAGGCTGTCCATGGACGTGTCTGGACCATTGGCGGCTGAGGGCTGCTAACGAAGACGAGGAGACTGAGGGCGATCCGCCGTTTCCGCGATTCGCAGAGGGGGATGGAATGACGACGATGTGGTGGGCTGGTGATGTCGCATCGGGGAAGATGGGCGACGTGGGTTGGACGCCAGGGCCACAGGGTGCGGTGGATGGCGCTGCCACTGACCGCACAGGCTGCCAGATGCGACCTCATGCAGGACATGTGCCTTGCCTTTTGCCCAGTGCGGATACACGATAGGGCGCCGGCGGGCTGTAGGGTGGATGCAGGCTGGATGGACACTGGGGAAGGGCCTGCTTGGGTGTTGCAGGGCCTTGACAGGCTCGCCAGCGCGAGGCAGCAAATGGGGGCGTGAATAGGCTCGTCGTATCCAATAGTGTGCGTGTGTACGGGGCCATGATCACCACGGCACGTTGCCCTTCTGAGCGCTGCCCTGGTCTTTTTGCCCACAGCTCAGCGCGGGCCGCAGGCGTCAGACTGTCGCCGACGCGAGCCAGCGCATCGCTCGTCCCCCATGTGCATGTGCGCCACGCCATGGCTAAAAGGCTCCGACTCCCCCCCGACGCAACCCGCTCGTTTTCACCATTTGATCGTCCATCTCGTCTCACATACCTTTGCATACATTGCTTGCCACATCTTCACATTTACACACATCCCACCTGCGCAATCCTCGCTCAAAGCACAAGCACAAGCACGTCCAACGCTCCTGCCTTTGCAAACCATTACAGACTGTAAGTTTGGCTGCACTCACGCACCCATCGCTCCTTCCTCGTTGCGTCCGTGCTAACTGCTGTCCCATAGCCCACCAAACAACGTCACTCTACGCTACCACCACCACCACCGCTCATGGCTTCAACCTTGTCCGCTAGTAGTAGTAGCAGTAGTAGTAATGGCAACACCTACGCCGAATTCCTCCAGCAAGCCAAGCGCAACTTCTGGATCAGCAACGCCCACCTCACCGAGGAGGAGCGGAATCACGCCTGGTTCCAGGTCGCCTGCCAGCCCACATCAGCCTCTGCAGCCGAACAAATACCACGCTCAATGCCCTGCCCCGCATCAGACGTGACGCAATTCTCAGTATGGATCTTGTTTGGTCTGCGCCTCTTTCCCCCCGCTCTAACACGTTCCCTAGATGTCCGTCTCGGCCCCGGTCATGAACCGCTCAGATTCTGCCATGAACGACCCCTCGACTGGCGCCTACACCGACTACACCCTCTACTCTGACTCATCGATACAGAAGCAGCCCAGTCTGCACTCGCTGCCAGAAATTGGCTGTGACGGTGCCATTGCCGAGTACAGCGTTGACGACTATGTCAGCAGCTGCATTCAGCCCCATGACGCCTCCACCTTCCCCTTTCCCCAGCATTCACAACAGTTGCAACTGACACCTACCCCGCAGTGGAGCTCATCGTCCGATGTCTCTTCGCCCCAAACTCCGTCAACTGCTCTGATGACGCCTGTTACTCAATCCAGTAACATGAGTCGTCAGGGTAGTTACAACCCTCTGTTTTTCGATCAAGTTTCCATGTTGCGTGTTCAGTCTGACTCTTCATGTACCATGCCCATCCTCTCAGAGGATGGGACTTTTCCTTATTCCTTTGATGTCGAATCAAAACCCATCAGCGAGTCCGCTGGTGTGTCTCCTTTTCTCTCCTTCACTGGCTCCTCCAGTGAAGCTTTCCTTTCTCCTTCTTCTGCTTCTTTGTCTTGTTCTTCTTCGCTTCCCGCAAGTGTGCCTGCACTTGCCTCTTCCGACATCACCCTCTTCAACAACAACAACGACCAGTCGTGCCTGGCGGAGGATATGCGGAGGTCGACTTCAGCTGCGTCTAGCCTGGGTGACTCGAGCGAGGTGTCTGTATCCTCATCGACAAACTCTCGCCAGTCGCAACGCGAGCGCGAGATTATTGCACAAGCTGCGTCTCGCAAGATTGCTCCAAAAGCAATTGACAACCTTGATGAGACCGAGTCTGCGTCGTCCAATGCTCAGATGACAAGGATTCGGTCAGAGGATGGCTCGTCCAAAACTGTTGGTGTCATAGCTAAAACGCCCTATGTGCGACCCCAGCACCCAAAGATCAAGTGTAACTTTTGCAACGAGCGACCTGATGGGTTCCGTGGCACTCACGAACTCGATCGTCACATTGCTCGTGCCCATGCCTCGCGTAGGAAGGGCTACATCTGCGTCGACTCATCAGCGGACCAGAAGTTTCTTGCCAACTGTAAACACTGCCGTAACAAGAAGGTATACGGTGCCTACTACAACGCTGCTGCCCATCTTCGCCGTGCCCACTTCCATCCCCGCAAGCGGGGCAGGAAGGGTCGCAGTGACGAGAAGCGCGGTGGTATTGGTGGTGGTGATCACCCTCCTATGGAGTACCTGAAGCAAAACTGGATCAAAGAGGTGGAGGTCGAGAACAAGCCCACTCCTCAATCCCCCGCCGACAACTCGGACAACGACATGCCCGAGCCCATCGACAACAACGCCTCTTTCGACATCACCAGCACCGCCGCCATCGCTGTCCCCGTTTCCGCCGCCACAGCCTCGTACACTCTCGACCCCACTATCGCTGTTGCTGCCCAGTATCCTGTATCACAACAGCCTCTGCCCATGCCACTGATGAACCAAGTCCCTGTAGACCCAAATCAGTTTGTGGACTACAGTATGACTATGCATGCAAGTGAGCCTATGGTGTTCGATAACACGGCCTTTTTCGACCCCAGCCTTGCCCCCCAAACCGACATGAACAACTTTCAATTCGACACGTACAACATGGGTGCTTAGACGAGGTGCTCATGCCCCTTGTTCTTGTCCCCCCCCCCTTTCTCACCCCTTGTCTACGCGTCGATGATCGTTGCCTTTTCTAGTCACAGGGCTAGGGGTCTTGTTGATGTACATAATGTTTTTGCTTCTTTTTCTTCCTGCTCTTTCTTCTCTCATTCTTAGGGTTTCTCCGTTTGGCGTTTCGATGACTGTGACCACCAGCCACGACTTCTATGGAGCGCAGAGAGCTGCGGTAGGTTCGCATCGGCGGCGTTTTGCTTCTTGCTTCTTGTCTTTTTGTTTTCTACGAATCAGGACAGTGCGCGAGGCAGCCCTCGCCATCTTTGTTTATAACGTTTACGTTGCACATGTTGGTTGAGACTAGAGGGGACCAGTGCAGGTCGTATATGGATGTGCATATAGATGTTGGAAGTGTATGGACGGGGGATGGCATAATACTATATTGTTTCCCATGGCTCTTCTGGAGCTCTACGGGGACAATGGATGAAATTCAAACAAATATTGTCATTCTTGTCGGTCTCTTGTTGTGTCCTTTAGTGACACTCCCCTTTTTTTCCACTGAATAAAATTGCCTCGTCGCTGGTAGCTTTCTGATGGAGCGGTACATGGAGACCCTGTAAAGTCCTTTTCGACCTTATTTCTCCAGCATGTACATTCTCATGGGACAGTTTTCCTCTACTGTGCCTCGAATCTAGATATCTCTTTAATCAAAATACACATCCAACTGTACACTGCTTGATTACACAAAAAAAGGGATGAACCATGTCATTATCTCCCATCCAGACATGTCCCATCATAAACCATCCTACTCACACAGTCCTAATAGCTAGAATTAGGATAATTACCTCCTCCCTGCGTAGCATTATCCACCGGATTCGCCGGTCCCCCCGTCTGTCCCAACGCACCACCCTGAGCCCCAGCCTGCGCTTTCTCGGCTTTAATCGCTTCTCTCGCCTCTGCCTGTTCTGCTTTCTTCCTGTAAAAAAAACACCCCTTCCCGTCAGCCAAATCCTGCTTTCCTCATCCCTCTATACATTCCAACACCAGCAGAAAAGAAAAGAAAAGAATCAAACTCACCTATCCAAATCACTTTCCAATCCCGGCTGGGCACCTCCTCCTCCCAATCCCACACCTTTCCTCGCCACTGCATCCGCTACTCTTCCTTCCCCGGGCATAGCCATCTGCTGCCCATCCAACTCCTTGTGGCGTCCTACATCTTCCTCGCTTAGCCCTTTGCTTTCTTCGCCGGCCGGTGCGCCGTGGACGCCTTTTCCCTCTTCGAACTTTGCGTTTTGGAGGCCTTGCTCGTGGGTTGCTTGTTTGGTGGGGATGCGTTGATCGGTGAACGCCGCGTTGTCGGATGCGTTGAAGGAAGCTTGGGATTGTTCTTGCGGTGTTTTTTCTATGGGGTTGCCGGGCGTGGTGTAGGCTTGGGATGTCGTGGGTTGGGAGGGGGCGGACATTGTTGATGTTTGTTTTGCGTTTGAGATTGGATTTTGGGGTTTGAGGCTGTATGCGTGTTCTTTTTTTTGGAGGGGGAGGAAAGGAGAAAGAATTGGTTGAGTGGAAGAGGTCGAGATGATTGTTTGGGTTCACCTTGTCATTGCTATGACGTCTGCGGGGCGCGTCCGTCATTCATTTCAAGCCCCACCAATGCGGTGCCTAGTCTGAATGCGTGGGAAACTAATGTGTACATAGGCCGTGTTTTAGTCTTCGCATGTAGTAATTTGATATCAAGCGTGGGTGGGATTATTGTGGTGCTAAATTGCGACTCGGATTGTTGGAACGACCATCTCCGCTAGACATGTACGTCATAAGTTCACTTCCACATATACTATATCAGATTGTTGTATGCTTTCTTTTTCACGTAGTCGTTATTCCATCTCGTTTTTACTAAATTAACAGTAATGTACGCTCGATTCATCGGCGGCGTTGAAGCAATTGTTTGTGCTGTTCAGGCACACGTGCCTCTATATCCAGCCCGAGAAATAAACAGGATACTAGCGAAACAGCAATGTCCAAAAAGCTGCTTCCATCTGCTTGCGAGTCCCAACAACCCAAAACGCCAGAAAATGATGTGACCAAACGCCTTCGCTATGCTTCGATAATCGACTAATGGGGTTCATTCCATCTCCATCACTACATCCTCCGAAGGCTCTCTTATCTCGACATGATTTGCAAGGTTGCGACTTTCTTGTTTTGATTCCGCTTCTTTGGCTGCTCTTTCGCGCGTCTTACGACACCATTCTTCTATCGAATCCGCAGCTCCTCCCTCAATTTTGATAGTCTTTGGTTCGGCTGGAACACCCAAGACAGTCCCTTGGAAACGCGATTCGACGCCGGTTTTACTGTGCTTCTTCATGAGGGCTAGGCGCAATTAGCATTTCCAGAAAACATCATAAGAACGCATGCAACGTACTGTTCAGATAATCTTCCATTTCCTCTTGGTCAAGTTGCTCAGTCGGATTTGTTGGAACCGGCTTGTATGTGCCTGCGATGCGCCGAATCTCCTTATTCTGTTCGCCTTTGACCCATTCAATAAACTCGGTAATGTCTGCGGTATCTTCAGCGTCACGTCGTGCCGCTTCGTTTTCGCGTGCGCCTGTCTCGGCATTGTATTCTTCGAGCGGCTTCCGTAGTATCTCCTTCCATAGTTCTTCTCCGGCTGTCATGGTCGGCACAAGGAGTGCGCAATCCTGCATGGCCATGCGTACATCGGTGATGTTTGGTATGAGGTCGTTGTGGTTTGAATAGGCATTGTAGGCTGTTCGCTCGGCCAGGACAGATAGATAGCGCGCCGTCAAGTCGACGATAGTATCGACGGCTGAGGGCTTGCCATGTTGGAAGCCTGTTGCGCGCAGAATGTGGAGGACGGCGGGCCGTAGTAGATTGAGGAAGAGATCGTTTTGGGACATGCTTGTACGTGTGCGCGTGTATATGTGGTGTGTAGAAGAAACAGAATCGATGCAGAGGTCCAGTGGTGAGATAGATGTTACGGCGGGAACAGGCGCATCGTGGTCAGGCTGAGAAGAGAGTCAGTGTCGATAAAGTGAAGGTACGCGGGTTGGAAGCTTTGGCCCTTCACCTTCGCGGCTCGCCAAGACGACCCTCGACGCATCACCACCATCGCCCATCCGCCCTCTCAAGCCCGTACACATTTGCACATCCCCGCAAATGACGCGCCCGAAGGCGCATGTCCATTTCCTGTCATAATAACCGACGAAATAATCCGTACCGCCGCCCAAGATGAAGCTCAAACTAAAAAACCCCGACGCCGCTCCCAGCGATGCGCCTGCAGCGCCTGCAGCGCCTCCCCCATCCAACGCGCCTACACCGGCCGCCGCGAAGCCAGTCCAGAAGCTCAAGTTTAAAATCCCGCCGCCTACTCCTAGCGATCAAGCAGATGCGGGCAACGCCGATGCAACGAAGGTCAAGCGTAAATACACCAAAAAACCAAAGGTTGATGAGAGCGGCAATGCCATTCCTCCAGGAAAGCCCGGTCCTAAGAAGAGGGCGCGCGACGAGGGCGATCATGTCGATTCACCCGCTCTCAAGCGCAAGCCAAAGCCTACCGCGAAGAGTCTTGCCATGACCAACGACAGCGACGACGACGATCACCTCGCAGCCGTCGAGGAGCCGCCTCCACTACTCAAGACACACAATCGCACACAGTCTATCAAGCTGTCTATAAAGCCAAAGGGTGGTCTGAATGCGAGTACCCCGACTCGAAGTACGGCGATCCTGAAAGTCAAGGGCGCAGGAAAGCCACCAGTACGACCATATGGTGTTGGGTACGACAGTGAAGCCGAGGAAGCAGAAGCCGACCCAGCCATTGAGTCACAGTTCGTGTTGCGGATGAAGCCTGGCCCAGACTGCGACCTACTGCGCAAGTCCATTGAAGAAAAGACAATCGGGAAGAGTGTGTCACAAGGAGGCCCTGGTGTACACTTCCGCTTTTTTGATCGCGAGGGCCGCCGCGCCATGCTCACGATACAGAACCGCATGTACGCTGCGACCATGGTTGAGCTGCCCGCCGTTATCGAATCTCTAAAGAGCTGGAACAAAAAGGACTGGGTCAAGACTGCGGATGTCTGCCAGATGCTCTTAGTCCTCGACGAGGTCAAGAATGAGGAAGAGGCAAAAAAGTACCCACTGCCGTCCTACATCTCCCCAGATACACACCGTTTCCCTCATGGCCTGACACCGCCCATGAAATGGGCTCGCAAGCGACGTTTCCGCCCCCGAAAATCATACATCGACGTCGAGCGAGCCGAAGCGCAGATGAACCGACTGCTGGCTGAGGACGAAAACGCAGTGTCTACAAAATATGAGATGATAGACAGCGACGCAGAGAGCTCAGAAGAAGAGTCAAGCTCAGAAGAAGAGGCCGACGAGGAAATGGTCGACGCCTCACAAGCAGAAGAGATGGACGCCAACGATCTTGAGCAGATGCTTGCAGAGGGTCTCATGGATGACGAAGTCGAGTTCACCGGCGACAATGACCAGCTTAATGCATTGCTTGCAAATTCAAGCAACGTCCAAGTTGAGCAAGTCGGCACCCCCACGACCGCTCATGATGTCGCCATGCATGCTCTCAGCCATAATGGCAACATCACTATCGAGCCCGACACTGCAGCCTCGACACCTGCAGCAGCCACTTCTGCCGACGATGACGACGACGACGACGATGCAGACTCTGACGAGGATGGCGACGAAGTAGACGAAGTTGCCGCAGCTGAGGAGCAGCGTCAAGAACAGCTCCGAACTGAAATCGCAGAGCTGGAGAAGGCCATTATTCAGAGTACAGAGCAGCGCGACCGACAAACTAATGTCCTCTTCAAGAAACGTGTGCAGAATCAGATCGACAAGCAGAAGGCAGACCTTGCTATCAAACGTAAGCAGTTGAACGAGGAAGCGGATGAATAATAAACGGGGCATATCTTCATAACTATCCGCCTTGTAATGCGGTCTGAACATTTGGTACTGGTTCGTGGGGGAAATGGAATATTCACAGCGGGATGGCGTCTAGGGTCACAACATTCTTACGGCGTTATTGAGAATAGGGCACATAAGCTCTCTTTGCATGACGGCGTTCATCTATAACTTATCACATACCGAGACGTGTCGGTGCCCTTGATACTTTTCTGTCTTGTCTTGCATAACAAGGGCTATGTAGAAGTCAATTGTAATCAATATCTACATGGACAGCAGTTCGAAAACTATGACTAACAACTCACATGTGCTTGAAGAAAGGAAATGTTATGGTCTTCACACGAAGGGTGTCACTAACAAGAAAATTGACAGTGGCGATTCGCTGCGAGTCCAGCGACTGTGTGTGTTTGTTTTTTTCTGTCTATATTGCCCTATGACTATCTGACAATCGCTCCTCTACATCTGGAGAACATCAAAACTGTCTGGTAAGTGCGGTTGGACTAATGGATGATACTTCTTCTAGACATTAATGCATTTGTCAGATTGTGAATGTGAATATATAAATACGATGAAACCGACACGTGACTTGGACCCTGCCAAGTACGGGCGCTGCCTCACCGTAGTATATTATTCTTTGTTGCCCCGCTGCTTTTCTCCTTCGACAACCTCACTCTACTTGCCGTCGCGCGCAGTCGCCCTCTGTCGCCCGCCTACCAACTGTTATCGTACATTGCTAACCGATCAAGCGACAGCAATATGGCACCACCGGGGCCCCCGCCGTACACGCACGAACAAATCACTGCGATGACCTCACAGGAGGAACGAATACGCGCCTATGCAGAGCTCAAGAGTACGTGGGAGAGGCGTACAGAAAAGCGCGAAATAGGTGGAACATGAGCGCAAGATGTTGACAGTCTGACGATAGGTTATATTGCGCGCCTGAAGAAAGAGAAAGAAGAGCGCGAGAATGCGCAGGCCAGAGGATATTCCCCCAATCCATACCACAACGCTTTCCATCGAAAGCGCGGTGGCCATGGCCATGGTTTCGCCAACCGATCATATCATCCATACCAGCGCCCGACTACGCACAAGCCCATAGATGCGACCAAGTCTCGAGAGGCAAGCGATAGTGAAGGTCCATCGAAGCAGCCACTGAACAGCATCGCCTCGACGAACGATTATTCAACCAAGCTCCAGGATCTCTGTCGCACCTTTACTTCCGCAGGTATTTCCACGAAACGACACTTTCGGCATCTTTCCTTTTTTTCCCCTCTTTGCCTCTAACGTATTGACAGGTGTGTGCTCACGACATGGGTGTCCTTACGTCCATGATCCAGACAGGCAGGCAGTGTGCAAACGCTGGTTCTACAAAGATGCATGCCCTATGGGAGAGCAGTGCTCTCTGTCACACGAGGCCTCTCCACACAACGCGCCTACTTGCCTGCATTTCCAAGCTGGTCGATGTGCTAACGACGGTTGTCGCTTCGCTCATGTTCGTACCAATCCCGCTGCCCTAAACTGCGAAGCGTTTGGAAGTCTGGGCTACTGTGAGAAGGGAGACAAATGCGCCGAACTCCATGCACATGAGTGCCCTAGTTTTGCCAACACAGGAACATGTCGCTACGGTGATGAGTGCCGTCTGGGACATGTTCGCCGTGCTTCTCGAATGAGAAAGACCACGCGTCTCTCTTCACCAGCAGGCTCTCCTTCGTCGAACACGCCTTATCGTTCCAGAACTCCTGAGGATATGGTGACTGCCGAGGATCACTTGGAGCAGATTACACCAAGGGCCGGTGCTGACTATGAGCCTCGTCAGTTCACACAGCAGGCAGACTTCGTTCCCTTCGATGCAGATCAGTGAGCAAGGTCTGGTTATGCCTGGATACTGTATGTCTTCCCTTGCTCTGTTTCCAGTATGGATCAGCCTAATTGTTTCTTCTCAAGTCTCATGTTTGTGTATCTCATAACCTGGTAGGTTTTCGTCCTGATGGCGTTCAGCTCGTCTTGACTGTTTAGGGATGGCCTTGGCTTTTCAGGGTTCTTTTCGGTGATACCCCTTCGTGCGATTTTCTATGCTGTCTTTTCGTTTCTTTTCAAGGGGCTGTACCCTATGCACACGTTTGAACGAATCAAAGAAAGAAAGAAGATGAAGATGAAGATGACAGTAAAACACATGTAACGAGAAAAAGAATTGAAACAATGCAAATATGCCCTGACTATTGATGTATATATTGTGAGTGATTGGATATTGAAGTGGTGAGAAATCTGCAGGATGACATATTACTATAGCGTTTGTATGTGCTATACGCTGCATATACGCTGCAGGTATTTGCCAGGATATATTTATAAAGGTGGCGGCTGTAAGCAACTGGATTGCGTACATAGGCAAAACGGCGACGCATGGATAGCGCTGGATGTGGCAACGGCTGGGACTTGAGAGTCAAAACGTCCAGAAGTTGCTTTGCCCAAGCGAATAATGAAGACGCGCCTGATATCCATGTGCTCCGGGAGCGTAGTTGGCCGCATAACGGTAGAGATGATGTTGTTTTTGCGTATGCTTAGCGTTGCAAGTGCTCACCGTGTAGGGTCTGACAGGGGCGGTGCCGTGTGGAGGCTGAGGCGGGCTGGAACTACTGCTTAGCCTCCATCCTACTGTCCGTTGTGCCTTACAATTCGACAGCCCGCGCCAGCATAATGTGCGACTCTGCCACATTTACGATGACTTTGCGAAGATATAAGAATACCCTGAAGATTGAATAGTGGGAAAGCACGGCGCGCTCTAATTTTGGCGAAGCTGTTCTCGAACGATACTAGGTCTCCTGCCGCGTAACCCCTTGCCTGCGCTGGCAACGCGAAGCCCGACCCGAGAAGAGGCAATTTGCGCGACACCATGACGCTCAAAGACCTGTTGAAGAAGAAGGACAAAATCAGGGATGATGGTGCAAGCCCTGCATCCCCGACAGGGGCTACCCTTTCTCCCAATGTCCCGGAGTTCCAGTTCGTTCGCACCACAACGTCGACGCAAGAAACGATCGAGCCCCCCAGCTTTCCCGGTGACCCCCAGCGCGATTCCCCTCTCTTGTCACCTGAGCCGCGAGGCAAATTTCCCAGATTCAGAAGTCGTAGCAATGCCTCGTCACAGGGCGGGGAGCGGCATCGGTTCCAGCTCGGGCGAAGCAAGTCGAACGCATCGGCAAACGTACCGGACAATCTTCCAGAAGTGGGCGGAGATGGAGTAGCACGAACGGAGGAAGAGGAGGCCAAGTGGGAAAGGAGGGCTACGGTGCTGGTTACATCAGGGCTGCAACACGGCTCCCAGCCCCCTACACCAAGCCATGTGCCCATGAGTCCAATGTCACAAGGTCGACCGACGACCCCAAGGCGTCGCAGTGCAACTATTGGCGCTCCAGGGGATGAGGTACGCACAACTATGGAGAGCACAAGAGCCGGTCTAAGCTTTGTATAGGAGACCATACAGGAGGCTATTCGACAACACGAGCATGGAGGTGAGTAATTGCAACAAATGGGTGCGCCTTGCTGGTGAAACTGACGAGAACGAAACAAGATCTTGAAGCATCAACGTCTCTGTTTGGAAAACTTGCTGATCCCAATGGTGCAAACAATGCTCTAGCTCAAGTTCTCTACGGCCTCGCCCTGCGGTAAGCTCTCTCTCTGTCTCTCTCTCAACTGCAATCTGGAATTGTCAATGGACGCACGAATACTCGTTAATATCTGATCCAATTCACTACTAACTATGTATCAGCCATGGTTGGGGTTGTGAATCCAACCAGGAGCAAGCCGTTCAATACTTGTCCATGGCAGCATCGAACAGTGCTGAAGTTGAAAAATTAGCACTTGGGGCTGGCATGAAAAAAGGAGGTGCAGCCAAAGGCGAACTTGTGCTGGCCATGTATGAGTTGGCCAACTGCTTTCGCAATGGCTGGGGTATCAAGAAAGACCCTACAGCGGCGAAGCAATATTACGAAACGGCTGCCAACCTGGGTGACACGGATGCGATGAATGAGGTAGCCTGGTGCTACATCGAGGGCTTTGGTACGAAGAAAGACAAGGTAAGCAAAGATGTGTCAGCCTTCTTCCCCTTACCTTACGGTCGTTATACTACTTTGTGCATCCGCTTGACCGGTCAAGTCTATGCAATAACGACGCGAACTGTCAGCTTGGAAAAGAGTGTACAGCCTGGACCTCAGTCATCATGCGCCATGTCCCACTGAGACACGGCGTCCCCCTTTGTTCCGCCTCACTGTTTGGGCAGCAGCAGCAAGAACTCGGCTGATGTGGATGTATGCTGACTGCGCCTTGTTTCCAGTTCAAAGCGGCTCAATTCCTGCGCCTCGCAGAATCCAAGGGTAACAAAACATTAGGCAACACATGGTAAGTCGCACCACTTTCGTTACCCTCGTCATGGACCAAAGGATCCATATCAGCCCCGGACCGAGCCTCAGTCTATGCCGTGTCAAGAGGGCGCGCGCAATGCAAGACATGTCGAGCTGCTAGTATGGCAATTGACCCGCGCCATTCCGTCCCAGCCGATGTTGCACCCTCAATCAACCTCAACACCTCGCCACCAGGCGTGATGGAGCAATCCAACGCACGGCGCTATTGTCCGTTCAGGCCAACCAGTCTGAACGCGCAGTTGCCAAGGCGAGTCGATTGGCTACGAGTGCACCATTTTGACAGTCCCCTCGCTTAGCCGATGCGGACGCTGAACGGCGGCCCTCGCCCTCACCCGCAGTACGACCCGTCACACTTGCTGCCAGTTCCCCGCTACGCACACATGATTGCATCCGCCGACAGAGGAGGAGAAAAAACCAGCAATAGGACGCTACCCGTTTGGTGCAAGCCTCGTCGTCGTATGCCAATAGTGGAAGCGGGCATGCCTCTAGACCCGGCGCACTGGGTGCATGGTGCACACAAGCCTGTTTACGGCGCTACACGTGGCAGCGTGTCGCTGGCCTCGGTTCTGGAGTAAGCATCAGCGGAAGGGTGGGAGGGTGTAGCCGATGACGGAGTTCAGCACGTTCATGTGTGTGTGGAGCACCCGTCAGATGATTGCATCAAATCATGGCGAGCTGGAAATTGAGATGCATAATGGCGCGACAGTAGTAAACATGTCTGAACGGCCGTGCGGGCTTGAAAGAGGGCAAATGGCAAAAAGGATTTGGAACGAGAGACCAAAAAAAGCGTCGACCACCACGGCTATCGCGACAATGACGGTAACCTCGCTCGGGGCGCGCATGGCACGTACACTACGTACCGGACGGATGACGGCGACGGCGAAGAGCGACAGACGACTACGACGACCATGACAAGCCGACCGACACCAGCGGATCATGGACGAAACTCGTCTTTTTTGGTCACGATCTGGATCTCGACGACTTGCAGTAGCAGCCTCGGCAGCCCCCGTTTTGATAGTCGTGCCTTCGCCTCGTTGCCCGCAATCACCAACACTACCACCACTACCACCATCGCCCACCTTCTTTTCCTAAAAAGAAAAAGCCCTGGAAGCCGGATCCCAGGACTTGACTATTATTTCCCATTTACCCCGATTGGATTGGTCCCGATTTTAAACGCCGGGGAAAAAACAATAATAATAATGAGACCATGTGCTAACGAGTTTGTGTGTGTGCGGTTGGCTTGTAGGATCTGGAAAGATAAATACAATCCTAAATAAAGGACGTTATATTGGACGACGATGGCGGAACCGGGTATGGGTCGTTGTCGTTGTTCTTGTTGCCCACACCCATACTGGCCGTCGGCCCGACTAGGAGGATTCCCCTCCCCCCCGTTCCATTTGCGGAAAGTCATGAGACGATGTCGTGTGAGTAAGTAGGTGATGGTGGTGGTGGGAGAGTAGAGAAAGAGAGTGGGAAATGGATGGATGGATGGGGGGCGCACACACTCGCGTCGTCTTGTTTCCCGTGGGGAAGCGAAGATCTTCTTGCTTGTTTGGTTTCTGCTTTGCCTTTCTTTTTTTTGCGCCTATGCTCGACATAATTCCGATCTACTTTTTCTTTTTTATCGAATTTTCTGAATCTTGTCCTATCAAAAGCGTTTTTTGTCTCTCCATGTTTTCTACTCGCCCGGCATGTTGGAATCCCGGATGATGTGCAAACTCTAGTACTGTTTCTCTTCTCGAGTGCATGTGTGTGTGTGTGTGTGCGTGTGTGGTTCTAGAACTTAGGCCTCCCTCCTTCCCTTTTGCTGTAAGTGTGAGTAAGGAATGGGAAGGATTACATACACGAGGGTGGGAGTTTTTTTTTTACCGTTTATTTACGAGCGTAACACTATTCTACTCTATCTGCAGACTCTTTGTTTTTTATCTTCCTTCTCTCCCCTCGGTTGCTGCCGTTGAATGCCTGCCGTTTATTTTTGCTGTCTTTGCGTAGGGAAAAAAGAAAGAAAGAAAGAACAAAAAAAAAGGCTTGTATCGCATCCATTTGTATATCCTTGTGGAATATCATTCATTGTATATGTTATGTGTGTACCTATTATAGCGATTTCATTTTTTTTCTTCCTTCCATATCAACCTTTCGCGAAGTGATTCTTCACTTTCACTCATCCTCCATCCCTTCTAAGCGTACATACACACACACACACTCTCTCTCTCTCTGAACCTTCTCAACCACGCCAGACTCATTCATCCAGACATTCATCCAGACATTCATCCAGACATTCATCCCTCCCCCCCAGGCCGCCTAGCCACGTATCTCTCTGTAAGCAAGGCAAGGGGCTTCGTTGTCGTTTATTGTTGGTTAAAAAGAACGGAGATTTCTCCGGCTCAACGCTTCGCGTATGCGTATGTGTGCATGGCAGGACCGTTCCGCGGGGCCCGTAACGCTTTTTTGTCACACACACACCCCTCCATCACCCCATCGCCCTCGTTGTTGTCTTTCCTCCTCACCATATCAAGATAGGGAAAAATCTGGTGATGTGATGATGTGTATGTGTATGTAAGTGTCTAAACGCGTCTTCCGCACCAACAAAATCTGCACAAGTCGTACGTACATACATATGTATGTAGCATGTGTAGAATCTACTAGAGTAAAGAGACCCTCTTACTTACTGTAACTACTTATTGTACATGCAGCTTGTATGTATGTATATGCGGGGCCGCTTTTTTTCTTCTGAAACAGACTTGTTGATGCAGGAGGTGTATGTATGTGTATGGATGTGGGAAGTGGCATGGGTGGGTTGGAAACGGGGAAGTGGCTTGAAAGGTGTGTGGTTAGGTAAGTTAGCAGCGGGTAGTAGTGGAGACTTTTGACTGTTGTGTTGTTGTTTTTTCCTACAATGGGAGTGGACAGAAGGGGAAGGGGGGTTTGGTCGGTTCGGAAGGTGCTTTTTGTGGGGGATGGTCATGTGAGGCAGGATGGGGGATCACGGGTATGCAAATCAGCATTCTTTTTCTGTGTATATGTCAGTATTGCTTGGTTTTTTGCTCGCGGGAACAAAGTTCCTTTTTTTCCTTTGTATGTAGATGTCACGCACGTCATGCGTGGATGGTAGGGCAGTGAGTGGGATTAGGGTTTGTGGGAGGATCCGCAGGACGTTTTTGCTTTTGTGACATGCGTAAGATGTACTAGACATTTTTACATGTGTCATTGCTTTTTTTCGGTACCGTCGATTTCGCTGGTACTGTGTAATACATAGAGCAAGTACACCCGGGAGATGTGCAAAGTTAATCGAGTCAGTGATCAGATGTGTGCTTGCGCGGCTTGTGGCATCAGCTGTGCATGCTGCGCCTCGGTCACGTCGTCTTGGGTGCTCTGAGCCACCCGATCATGATCGAGGATCCCATCACTGCCGCGTAGAGTATGAAGCCGTATAGTGTGAAGTGTGAATCCACAGCTTCGCGACAAGCGGTAGATGTTGTACATACAGCGACAGTACAGTATAGTACATGCAAGGCGTGCAGCTCGGCCGGCAAGTTGTGGGCCCTTGTTGTGTGCCGTGGAAAGTGCGGCTGTATCGCTTGCAGCACATGGTACATCTACACCTAGTTTGACTGTCAAGAGAAGAACGGAGTGGGTCGATGTTAATCCTCCCTTCCCGCTTCATGCGATGCGAGGTACGTCTAACCCCCAGCCGTCAGTGACCGGACCCCGAAAAATGGGGATCGACCGTGCGTTTTTTCTTGCCTCGCATGCACTTTGCGCAGTATGGGTGTATGTATGCGTATGTACTGTGTGTATTAGTTGTTTCGGTGCTATCTTCGGTGGAGGATCAAGCAGAGGGAGAAGCTGAGAGAGCAAAAATGCAAGAGTGAATATACGGTATGCAATAACAACGCACAAAGTCAGCAATGGTGGGAGACGGTAAGACGGCATGGTTTCAGAATGTCTCACTCTACTCGGCCGATGATGTTGGTGGGGGACCAGTCAAGTTGAAGCCCACAGTAGTGGTGTGTTTTTAGGTCATAGACATGGGGCGCCCGATGGGGCGAGGCAGAGAGAGAGAGAGAGAGAAAAAAGTGACCGAGCAAGGGAGAGAGAGAGTGTGTGTGTGCATGGCCGGTTTCGTATCACGGCGACATAAGCGCTTGGTAGAGTGCAAGAAGCGTCTGATAGCATTAAGAACTGACTCGGCCATGCTTTGGTTGCCTGCCAATGGGGCAATCAAGAAGGCGCGGTCGATGACCTAGGTACAAAAATGGATGTTGCGTCCGGCTCTGTTGTCAACCAATGAAGCTCGGCACACGCACAATCTGTGACCACGGGCCGCAGAAACGGCCGCTGCAAAAAAAACGAGAAAAAACCAAATGGCCAAAGAAAGCTGGTATCTCAAGGGGGAATATCGTCCGTTCCCCGAAAAAACATCGGGGAAAGAGCGGTAAGAGGGTATTGTGAAAGGAAGAAGAAAAAAACAAGACCGAAAGGTCTATGGTAGAGGGGGCCGTGACAGTCGTAGAGTGTAAGTCATGGGGGGGGGGGGGTAAGCAGATGTGCGTGTGGATGCAGGAAGGTGAGGGGTATGCAGGAAGAAAAAACAGGCCTCGTCTCTTTCAGGAAAAAACAAGAATCATATCCAACTTTGTTCATGCCATCATCGCATCGCTCGCCAACAAAACATCAAACAAGGACAGACAAGACAAGCAACAAGTAGAACAAAACAAGTGTATGTGAATGCGCAATAAATATCTTTCTTCGCTTCGTCTGCCGTCATGGACAAATCGTCATTGATCATGCTCGTCGATACATGTTCCCATATCCTTCGTTGCCAAATTCTCTCAATCTTCGTGGTAAACGTAAAAGGAAAATCTCAACGCTCGCTACGCTGTGCAAAATAGATACAGACAAAATCAAGGCCAATCTCGAGTGTTTCTGAGCAAAGGACATGACAAACACAAGGAAATAAGACTAGGAAATAAGAGGAATAAAACAAAAAAAACCCAGTATGGATGAAGTCGTGAACCAGGTCTCGACATGAAGAAACAACCGCCATGCTCAAGCGATGCAGGCAACAAGGTACCCAAAATCGACGTTGCCGTCCCATAGTATAGAAGACTGGCAAGGCCAGAGCGTTGAGAAAAGAAATGGCGATGCCCGTGTAAACAACGGGTATCTCAGCCAGACCGTGATGCAACTTGTGTCCCTACGAGAGCCCCTTGGACAAGGGGGAAGAAGTGAATCGCTATGCTGGTGAAAGGACTAATGCAACTTAGGAAACTAACAAAGGAAAGGTGGGTTGGTGTGTCCATGTGTGGTGGTGTGTTATGTGTGTGGTGGTGTGTTATGTGTGTGGTGGTGTGTTATGTGTGTGGTGGTGTGTTATGTGTGTGGTGGTATGTGGTGGCGTGTGGGTGGATGGCCCGCCAGGTGGGGCTGCTTAGCCAAGGTTCTCGACCTTGGTGCCCTCGGAAGTGCTAGGCCGTGACATGGCAGCAGACTCCTCGACAATGCGCTTGAACTCGTGGACGACCTCGGGGGCAATCTTGTCCCAAAGCAGACTACGCGTGTAGATCTCAGCCGCAGAGTCGCCCTTGTTCTGCTCCCGCATGGCGGCGAGAGTCTCGGCAAGGTTGCGACGGTGCGAAGGCTGGGCGCCGGGCGAGAGTGGGTCAGAGAGGTCGTCGCTCGTGACGCTGTATCGCGAGCGGGTAAAGTCGAGGGAAGTCATGCTGTTGTACTGGTCGGGGGTGATGGAGAAGAGCTGCTCGTGCTCCTGGTCCTTGGTGGTACCAGTGAGGTGAGAGTGCAGCTGGTCGAGGCTGGAGCCAGAGATACCAGCAAGCTCCGAGCCAGACATGGTGGTCTTGGGCCAGGCCATGCCAGATGGCGTAGGCTCGAGACCGGCAACGTGAGTGGCAAGGAGGCTCTGCTCGCTCAGGCCGTTTGCGACACCAGCGTCCTTGAAGATGCTATCGAGGACGGTGGCAGAGGCAGCGCGGACCTCGTCGGGCATGCGGGGAATAGGAGGAGCAGCGGTGCCAGACTTGCTAGCAACAAAGGCGCCGCAGAGGAGGAGCATGAGCAAGAGACCAGAAGCGACGGGCTTGTCCTCGTCCTTGGTGCGCGAGACAAGAGACACTTCCTGGTTCTGCTGGGGAGTGGGCTGGTCGTCAGAGGCAAAGTCGTTGACAAAGATGTAGTTGTCCCAGTCGCTGTTGCCCATGTTGAGGTTGTCCATCTCCGAGGCGAAGTCGGTGAAGGTGGTGCTGGGGGCGACGGCCATGCCATTGCCCGTGGCAGCCTCAAGGCGCTCAGTGAGGACGGAGACCTTCTTGCGGAGCTCGCTCGTCTCAATGGTGTGGGTGCGGACAAGCTCCTCCTTGTCGAACTGGAGCTGGTTGACCATGTGGTGCATCTCCATGGACTCACGGTGCCAGTTCTCCTTCTCGGCAACAAGGGCGTCATACTCGAGGCGCATGGCAGCGAAGTCGTCTTGCATCTGGCAAATCTTCTCCATCCACTGCTTCTTCTCTTCCTCGAGCTCCTCAGTGTGCTTCTTCTTGCGTTGCCGCGAGTCAAGTCTGTGATTAGGTCAGCGGATGAAACATGGAGAGCATAGACCAAGAGGTAAATTGGACCAAACATGGAGCGTGGAGCCAAGAACCAAAAGGCGGTAGTACGTACGCAGCCTGTCTGTTGCGAAGGAGGCGTTTTTGCTGCTTGAGCTCCTTGAGGTCCTCTTCGTTGGTGCAGCCTTGGATCAGGGTGTCGATGTTGTGCAGGTTGCGCTCGGCAGGGATGTCGAAGCGGGCATTCTTCTTGCGGATGCCGCCGTCACGACGGGGAGAGAAGGAGCGGGGAGGGGTGTTGGGTCGCATGCGCTTGGGACCCGGGCGGGCGTCCATCTCTTGCTGGTTGAAGGCCATCCAGTCGGAGTGGGTGTGGGGGGACATGGGTTGCTCTGGTGCGGCCTGGAAGACGGCACTGGGGCGGACGTTCTGGTGCACGGGGAGTCCGTGGAAGGGCATCTGGGGCTGGTCGACAAAGGAAGCGGCACCAAAGTCACCGGGTCCAAAGGGGTTGAGGGGCTTGGATTGAGTGGGTGTCCTTGAGCCAGAGTTGTCGGCAACGGGCCATGACTGTTGGCCGTAGGTAGCGGCCTGGTTGGGGGGTAGGCGAGCGAAGGGGTTGTTGCTCTGCTCTGTGAAGAAGGGGTTGTTGCCGTTTGTGTTGACAACGGAGCTGGTGGCTGTGCGGTCGACAAACTGTGAAGCGGAGAAGTCCTCCCAGATGGACGTCTCTGGCGAGAAGATGCCCTGGTTGCTGGTGGAGGGCGACATGAGGACGGGTGTGTCGAGGATGGTGGAGTCGAGGGTAGCGTTGTCGTCAAAGGAGAAGGCCGAAGGTTTCCGGTCGAGGGAGTGGAAGTCCATGTGATTTTGGGAGGCCGAGTAGGAGTGGTCCATGGCGGGCTCTATGTATGTATATATGGATGGGTGGGCGGTACCAGTAGCAAAGTACCGGTGTGGGCGGGGGAGTGGCGGTGTGGGCCGCTGGATTAGGCAAGCTGCAAAGGGCTGGGGGCCGCAACAGGACTTGTCAGCGCGCTGCACTGATGGGAGTTGATGATGGCAATGTTGCAAAGGCAGAGAAGCTGGGCCTGGCGTGCAGTGGTAGCGGCAGGCGGGCAGGCGGGCAGGCAAAGGTGCAGTGGTGGTTGATGGTAGTGGCAGCGGTGGGCTCTGGGTGAAGGGCGGGAGCGCGGACTTAAAGCTGGTGGGTAGTGGGCGGGCGGGGTGTGCATGGGAAGCAGAAGCATGGGAGGCATCTGGGCACGGCGCGGGCCAGGGTGTGGGATACGACGCCCCAATAGTGTCGGGTATGGATGCATCACTCCAGCACCCTTCCCTGGCGCCTCTTAGCTGAGGGCCGCCCGCAGCCATTAGCCAGTGTTAGCCAGTGTTTGCCGGCTGCCCGCCAGTGTCTGGTGCAGCCGTGCAGCCATGCAGCCATGCAAGGCGCGTCCAGTCCAGTAGTCCAGTAGTCCAGTAGTCCAGTAGTCCAGTCTTCTGCTGCTGCTGCTGCTCCTCCTGCTTAGCCGTTTGTCGCGCCCGCCAGTGCGCCCGCTGTCACGCATATCGCGCGCGACGCTCTGATGCTGTTGCTAATCCTGCTGCTGCTAATCCTGTTGCTGCCAATCTTGCTGCCAATCCTCCGTCCATCACTCGCCCGCCGCAGAGCTGGTCGTGACTGGCCTAGCCTGTGCGGGCCGGCCCATGTAGATACTGTAACCATGTATCCCACCCATGTCGGTATGTATCGTATGTATCGATCAAATCGACGCATGCGTGAAAACTCTGCTCAAAACAGTCAAGACAACAGACCATGTTCATGCTGCTCCTTCGCCTACTACTCTACTTACAGTGCACTATACTACCACCTACCACTCCTCTGCCTCCGCCTGCCGCGCAGAGCGAGCGAGCCACCCACCCATCCATCCATCCACCACCCACACGCACTGCTGCTGCTGCTGTCATCATCATGCCCACTGCCCACGCCCCATCCAACCATCCAACCACACCCGCCGCTTGCGCCCCCGTCCGTCACCCGACTTGCCCTCTCGTCTGTTTCGTGAGCCTGGCTTGGCCCTCCCCTCCCCCGGCCCTCTAGCCCTCGAGGTCATGGTGTCATCTGTCCAGCTTCCGCCTCTCAACTCGCCTTCTCCCACCAGGTGCACGAGTCATCTCACCGCTCCCTGCCCGCACCAGGCTTCCCTGTCTAACCCGCCCTCTGCCCACTCCCTCTCTCGTCAACGCTACCACCCCATCGTCACTCCATCTGCCTGCAATCGGCCTTTGTGTGAGCCAGGACGCGACAAACACGGCAGCTCTAGCCCGTCCTTGTACCGACTGCTGCTCGCATTACCGTGCCGCTGGGTTCCCGCCAGACTGTTGCATGTCCATGTCCCTCCCTCTGTGCGTCATTCTTCGTCCACTTGCACAATGCCTGCCCTGCCCGCCGTTTTCTTCCTCCCCCGGCCAACTTCGCCCGTCCTCTGCTGCCAACTTATGCCCGTGACAATCAATGCACTCAAAAATACCAATTTTTTATTATTATTATTTGCAAAGACCTCAATCAAGACCATACTTTGATGTCTTCGCTCCTGCCAACCTGTGCTCTGTGTGCCGCCTATCGCGGCCAGCCTAAACCATGCAATCCCTTCCCCCCCCCAACCAGACTACACATGTACGTACATATCCAAGTACATCCAAAACTCCGCGTCACGCCAATCCCGACGCGCGCCCTCTCAGAAATAGCAAAGCTCTCTCGAGATGCCACAGCAACCCACCCCACTGTGGGAGCCGACGTGCATGACAAGCACAGATGCTGCATCTGCTCTCGACTGCCGCGGCTGATCCGCAACTCTGTTTTCTTTCTCTTCCCCGTTCTCCCTCTCTATTGCGGCGCCTACTGTGGCACGCGTAATTCAAAGCCACCCCAACAAACTCTACTTTCTAGCCCAGAGCCACTCTCGGCAGTGGGGCTCCACTTCGACTATCCTCGCATCTGCCCACTTTGCTCTCTACCCTGAGACAACGGCCCTGTCTTGACCGGAACACATCATCACCATCCTGCTGCACAAGAAATCAATCACGTCTATTTCCATGCTCTCCACCAAGCCCAGCTCGTGAAGAGAGTGCTTCGTAGCCATCCACGTTTCCTCCGGGGGGTTGCAATCGCGATATTGTGGCTGCACAATGCAAAAGGTGAGGCTGTAGCGGTCAAAGGACGAGTAAAGAAAGACTCCGGGCTTACGCTCCACTATCCGCTCCCGCGCTCTAGTCTCCAGCCACTAGAACATTTTTGCTCCCTCCCGGAAAAAAGTCGTGTGTGTGTATTGTACCGTATTCTTCACTTCGGTTGATCGCTGCTACCTGCATCTTGGCCCTGCATTCAACTTACTCTCTTGTCTCCGAGAAAAAAAATGACATTGTCAGTGTACCCCGTGTATGTGAATGTATGACTCACTCCCCTCACCTCAACTCAACTCAGTGCCATCCGCATCCGCATCCCCGGGAAACTTCGACCTCCGTCGCTTCCTTTTCCAATAAACGCAGCCAATCACATTAACCAAAAAAATATAATCCGGCCGAAGACCGGACAGTTAACCAACCAATCGCATTCCCCCGAGAAAACCACATCTGTATACTTGCAAATAAACCCTAATAGCAATTCCCAACCTTTGGGTTGAGAAAAACCATTCCCTTCCCAACGTGTGTTTGTGTGTGTGTGGATCATCCGCAACCCGCAACCGCTGTTGTACTACACATCGCGGGTCCGGCATCCGTCCCAATTGCTACCAATAGGCTCGGTCTACTACTACTACTGCTGCTGCTACTACACACAGACACACAGACACATGCGCGCGCGCACACGACCCCCTCCACTTCTTGCTGCATGCATTTCCGTACCAGACCGCCCCTTCACCTCCAGAACCCGAAACCTGAAACATAGCGTCCTTTTTTTTTTGACTACTGCCCTGCAAACTAAAAAAGAAAGAGGGAAGGGGAAAAAAAGGGTGTGTGTGTTTGTATGTCGTCCCCTTACTAGCCCTAAATGACTTTTTTTCCTTCCTTTCCTTTCCTTTCTTTCTTTGATTCGACTTTTTCCGATTCGTGACATTGTTGCGGTGAGACGCGCGGATAGGCGGATTACACCCCCCCCCCCCCGCTTGTTAGAGACTTCTATTCCTTTCCCTTTCCCCCCCCCCAACACACACTGATTTCTCTCTCTCTCTCTCTCTTATACCAAATGACTAGGGTGCTTACTTTTACGCAAAAACCCATGTGATTCTTGCGGTGTAAGGAATATTCCACCATAAACCCCCCTCCCCTGTTTAGAACGGGGGGGGAGAGAGAGAGAGAGAAAATGGTGTGTTTGAGAATTATGGGGAAAACAGATCCATGCAGTGCGTTAAAGCAAGAAAGGCTGTCATAGACCTGTCAACGTCATACTTTACAGCGCTAGTCAACTTTTTTTTTAAGCTTTTGAGAGGTGGGTGGGTGGGTGTGTGGTGGTGTGTGCATTACTTACTTACAACATTGACTACGGTACCGGGGGGGCTTTTGGGGCCATGCGATAACAAGGCATGGGGGGTTAAGCACGGAGCACGGTGCATACATGGACAGACAGGGTCGACGCGTCAGGAAAAAAACGTGTATTCTGGAATAATGGTGCCGGTTGCCCCGTCAGTCGGTCTTGTCTACTACTCGTGTTGTGTGGAGGGGGGGGGGTCCTTTTTAGACTCGGGTGTAAGATATTGGCGTATACTGCTTGCCGAGCTAATGGGATGAGTGCCGAGTTTTGGGACGGTGAGTCGGGCCATTTTTTTCTTGAGGGTTTTGGCTTTGGATGAGGAGAGAGGAAATTGAGGGTAGAGAGGGATGGGAGGGAATGTGACTCATTGGAGATGAGATGAGGATATTGAAACACACCGGTAGTTGGTGTAGGGTGCATTCTGAAATGAAGGGATACCTTTTGTGCCTATGAGAACATGTGAAAAATTGTATACGCTTTGTATTTTGCAAACTCCATGCGCCATCGGAGTATGTACTGGGTATCTCGGTTCAAGCTATGGACCTTCTTTTTTGCTGTTCAACTCCCGCCTGATAAGTGATATCAACCAGAGCATTGACCTTTGTCCGCTTCTTTTTTTCCCTCTTGTTCATGTGAACTCATCTTCTTTGCTTCTTGTAGACTCTCCATCTTTGCTTCTTGGTCAGCTTGCATCTGCATCTGCAGGCAGCCTACCGTGCATGTGACTGAATTATTTGCTTCTCCCCCGCCTCAACCTTAGATTCCCCCATTGTCATCCCGAGACCACAGCTTCACGGTGCGATCCTTGCCTCCACTCACGATCCAGCATGCGTCCCTTGTCACATCCGTACTAAACACGGGCCCAGAGTGTCCTTGGAGAGTCTTACAGTGTGCCCAATCATCTGCTGAAAAGATTTGAACATTTTTGTCAAATCCAGAAGAAATGACAAATGTCGATGCTTTCTTCGGAATCACTTGCCCTTGCTCATTCTCTTGCAGCGGTATACCGCTCGTCGGACCATCAGTCCCCCTGAACCATCGAAGATCAGTGACTCCTCCTGTGTTGGCCGCAATCGAGTTGGTTTCTCTCATCGCACGAACGTCCCAGCATTTCATAAATCCATCTCCTGATCCAGAAAGTAGTCGGTGACCATCGGCAGCCCAGTCTAAACCATAGATAGGTTTGATATGGCTTTCCAGCATGTAGATGACTCGACCTGTCCTAACATCCCACACCCGGCCAATGCTGTCCAGACCGGCACTTGCAACCAAAGAACCATCGCCGTTGAAGCTTACAGTATAAACCTCCTTTGAATGTCCCTCTTGCATAAGGAGCTCTTGACCCGTGTTCACGTCCCAGAGCCGCCATGTGGTATCGTCAGAAGCTGACGCTAAGTATCGCCCTGTAGGATGGAACGCTAAACGACAAACACGGTCAGTGTGTCCTTCGAGTGTGCGCAGAGGTTTGTCGTCATCAAGCGACCATAGCTGAACTTTTCCCCCTGCTCCTCCAGAGGCAAAGTTCACGCTTGAACTCGATACAGTACTACCAGGTAGGGTTGCGTCTGGCATCCAATCTATGCCCGTCGCACGTTCCGCATGTCCACCCCGGTATGCTTTCTTCTGCTCAAGACTAGGAATCTCAAGCAGTGCTACCTTGCCACCCCAGGTGCCGTATGCGACGTATTGCCCATTTGGTGAAACGCGCACAATGCTCACTGGTCGATCTGCCGTTTGCGATCCGTAGAGTTCAAAGCCCTTCAGCCGCTCCTTGATGCCATTCCGGAACTCAATATGCGTCTTGAGTGGTATCGTAGCCTCGCGACGCTGATATGCGATTCGGTCCTTGGCTCGTGGCAGCGAATACTTGGCCATTTCCCGTCGCGCATCCAGAAGTGCCTGTGTACCCTGCGTGTAGAATTCCTCTTGCTCGTCCCCAGCCCCCTCTTCTGCGTCTTGCATGTCCACGTCTGCAGCATCCTCGCCCAATGCTTCCTGTGCTTCTGCAAGCAAGGCGCGAAGTCGATCACGGCGCTCAGCAGGACCCTCGCCGAACAGTGTAATTGGCTCTCCGCGCGAACGCAGCTTTGCTTTGACATCGCGATCGGCTGTAGGCACAACTAACTGGGCGGCTCGTCGCTTGCGATCAAAATCCTCCATGAGCGAAGAAGCCGACGCGTTTCCTCCACCGGGCATGGCATGGTTGCGGTCGAGCGCTGGGCATGTTAGCATTCTAGTATTGAATGTATGAATTGCGCCTAGATACTCACGGACACTGGCAAGATCTATCCCCTCCATGGCATCGCCCTAGGCACCCACATTAGCTCTTGTATTTCCAGAAGCTATACATACCATCCTGGAAGTAGCTGCGCAGCATGTGAAGCTTGCTGCCTGCTACCCAGAGACAATATACAAAACACATACCGCACCATTCTCCTCCTCGACATAGGCCTGACGCGCCGGATGCATGCTCATCTTAACTGACTGACTGTCCCACGGCGGGGAAGGTGATTGGAAGCTCGTGGGGGTGTCTCTCGAAAAGAAGTTCGGGGCCAGCCACGGGTTTAGGCGATAGGGCTGAGCTAGCGTCGGTTATGTCATTCTCCGCGTTTGAGCCAAAGGCCAGCAGCGTTTGGCCGCCCGGCCAAAAGGTTGCAGAATAGTGAACAGTTGTCCAGAGGATTATCAGAGCAAGCCGGCTTGTCCCTCTTGCATCTGAACCATTATCACCCCAATTGTTGTGCATCTTGAGACGATGCTCCTAGTACTCGTAAGTATCACCGCCCTCAGCAGCTAGCCGATCGGCAATGACGACGGCCAATGTGAATTCTTAGCCCAAGGGTCCCTTTTTATTCCAACGTCGTCTGTCGCAAAGGTACGGCGCCGCCATGATGCATTCCCTTCACTACCACTCTCTGCCGCCATCCTCTCCACGTGCTAATTCGTAATCGATAGGCTTGGGCTTTGGCCATGTCATTTGCGATAACCAGTGCAGCGGGCCTTGCGCGACTTTCACCAGCACCGCGACGCGCCTCATCTACTGGCTTCTTTCTGCTTGCCCTCTCCGCATCGCCTTTGGTAACACCTGCCTCGACCAGCCGCAGTCCCAGCGTCCCTTTGCAGCGAATGCCTCCCCACGCACACCCTACCTGTCCCTTGAATCGAAACACCTCCCCGGCCACAGTCGGCTTACGATCATTTCATTCTTCCTCGCACAATTGGCGGAGTATGCCACAATATACCTACCATGTAGCTGCCTCCTACTCGGCCAAGCAAGACAACTTTGACGCAGAACAAAATCTGTTCACGCGCCCGCTCTACGACCCGAGGAAAAGCAAGATTGAGGATCTGCGCGAGTGCAAAGAGGCCATCGACAAGCGGAAGCGAGCAAAGAGTGGACAGGACGCCTTCTTCTTCAGCCAGGTGGGAACCACCGATACCACGACATTTGGAGTTGCAGACGGAGTCGGTGGTTGGGTCGAGTCTGGCTTGGATCCCGCAGACTTCTCCCATGGATTGTGCGAGTACATGGCCTGCGCAGCGCGCTCATGGCCACACGGATTCAACACGACGTCGTTACACCCGAAGGACCTGCTTCAGGTTGCGTACGACGAAGTTACCGATGACGCCAGCATTGAAGGTGGCGGCAGCACCGCATGCCTGGCGGTCGCAGAACCAGACGGCCATGTCGAAGTCGCCAACCTGGGCGACTCAGGATTCATGCATCTGGGTCTAAACGCTGTGCGACATTTCACACAGCCCCAAACGCATGCCTTCAACACTCCCTATCAGCTCTCCAAAACGCCTCAACGCATGCTGGTGCAGATGGCTGTGTTCGGTGGTCCAACCACACTTTCGGATCTACCAAAGGAGTCGAGTGTAACGCACCATAAAGTACGGCATGGAGACGTCCTCGTCTTTGCAACCGATGGTGTGTGGGATAATCTTAGCCCGCAGGATGTGCTAGGTATTGTCAGCCGTCAAATGGTGGACCTAGGTGCTTGGGTTGAGAGAGATGGCACAATTGTAGTTGGAAGAAATCTAGCAAAGCTGGTCCAGGCCGACTCAACTCGCAAGGCCGACAGTTCTTCGCTCCAAGCAAAGGTCGCAGTTGCAATTGCAAAGGAGGCCAAAGTGACGGGACTCAATACTCGTCGGGATGGGCCTTTTGCCAGAGAGGTACAACGATACTACCCTGGCGAGAACTGGCATGGCGGCAAACCGGATGACATTGCTGCCGTGGTGGCCGTTGTGCTCGAGGAGGCATCTCCACGAGCCAAGCTGTGATCATTTGTACGACCTACCGTTTGGATGCATGAGTAGGCGATGGCGTTTCGGAGAAAGACTTGCACAATCAGGACCGGGGCATAACTACATACAACACTCATGAGAGGTGATTTCATTGGCTGCTCTAGCTACGCAGTGTCTTTTAGCAAGCCTTTCATTCCGGCATAGTTGATTGGGTCTTTGTTCATGTCTCTACAGCGTGTTTTCTCTTTTGGATAGATGTTGTAGAAGAGAGGGGACTGGGGTATCAAGTAACGAGGTATTTGTTTTGGAGGCTACGGGCTGGTATCTAAAACTTTATTACTATCACGATGTATGCAAAGTGTTGGAATTAAAGATATTGTTGCTTTCAAGTTATGACATAGCGACACAGTGAACTATGGCTGGGTTGACAGTTCTACACGACCACATGACATTCTAACCTTTGACTTGCACTGGTACAAGTGCGAAATTGCCATAACCAGTCCAAAAAATGAATACGTATGAAATAGTCATTACTTAGGTGCATGTGGAAAAAGCAAGCACTTCGAAGACAACCAACAGTTTTGGCTCAATGTGTATTGCCTTGAAGCTGTTGTTGTCCATTCCGCTGCAGGAACCAAACCTGAGGGCAAAGCCATTACACAGATACCCATATTATGAAGCATATGCTAGACACAAAAAGCTGCACTGGTGTGAAATGCACGCTGTATAACCCCCGATGCTCGTCAGCAGTTCCCACTAGTCCCGCACTAGGTGTTTGGGCCCTGTTTGTTTACTGCCGCGCTCCCGTTGCCCGGCAACCAGACCACGCGAGAACTAGGATTGGCCGGCGCGCGCTATGGATGTCAACGTCCAAACTCAACCACCACCCCCAGCATCTCTACGACAAACAGCCGCCTTCCCTCCGGGCCTTATGTATGCGCAACTAACACTACAGCTTCCAATCGCTATTCACATAACCCGACAAACACGTTTATAGCCACACGCGCGTATCATCCCTTTGCGACTCTCGAATGGCTACCGGATCTCCCACGCCGCTAGGCGGCTCCTCATATGGGCGCATGCGTGCGCAATCATCGATACGACCCCGGAGAGACTCTCCACTCTCTATGCTGGGTCAGTCGCAGGGCTTCTCGGCCGACGTGCCCATGATGCAGAGCATCGACATTGGCGACAGCTCGGATGACGAGATGCCACAACCCATGAAACTCAGTGCTCTGACGGCAGCTCTACTTGCTCAAGGCAACGAGGTTGATTCGCCAGAGAAGAGAAAGCCTAAGCTCAAAATCTCACGCAATGATTCGGGCTCAAATACACCTGTACATGACTCCGTCACGCCTGCGCCCAGTCTACGCATCAAACGAGTTCCACTACGCGGCGCACCCATGAGGAGACTGCGCAGAACACCCCAAAGCGAAGAAGAGAATCCTCCTTCCCAGGATCAGGAGAACATGCCTGCGTCGGCCATCAAAACCCAGCCTGAGAACGTCCCCGATTCCGTCCTGAAGGTTACTGGCTCGGTCATGAAGGTCGCAGAGGACCGCCACATGCAATCCTCCCTAGATCACCAGTCACCTAGCGAAAGGGCTTCGCAACAACAAGAAAAACCCATACCACTACAGTCAATGAGCGCAAATACCCCACGACGACCAGCGCCTCCACCACCGCCGAAGATGTCTGTATTGGAGACCGCAACTGCTGCTGCTGGAGCTGCCACCACCAAGACACGAGAGAGGAAGAAGAGGGTTACACTGTCCGTCAACGGAAAGCACTACTCTCAAATGGACAGGATAGGCAGAGGTGGCAGTTCGGCGGTGTACCGTGTCATGGCAGAGAACTTCAAGACTTTGGCACTGAAGAGAGTTAAGCTTGAAGATGCCGACGAGGCTGCTGTACGAGGTTTCAAGGGCGAGATTGATCTATTACAAAAACTCAAGAACGTCGACAGAGTTGTAAGACTCTATGACTGGGAAGTGGACGAGCAACGCCAAGTGCTCAGTGTTGTAAGTAAATTTTTTGTCAAGAGTCAAAGTTTCAACACTAACATGTCACAGCTCATGGAACTCGGAGAATCAGACTTGGCCCGCATAATACGAATGAAGCTTGACCCCGCCGATGGCGATGGCAAACTCGACCTCAGCTTCACCCGTTACTACTGGAAAGAGATGCTCGAATGCGTCGGCGCAGTCCACGACCACGATATTGTCCACTCGGACCTCAAACCCGCAAACTTCCTCCTTACCTCTGGCCGCTTAAAGCTCATCGACTTCGGCATTGCCAACGCCATCGAAGTCGACCACACTGTCAACGTCCACCGCGACTCGCACATCGGCACCCCCAACTACATGTCCCCCGAATCCCTCGAAGACTCTGCTGGCGGCGCCCGCGGTCTTCTCAGCAACGGCAACGGCTCCAAAGACATGGCCCTCGGCAAGCCTTCAGACGTCTGGAGTCTAGGCTGCATCCTCTACCAAATGGTCTACGGCCGCCCCCCCTTCGCCCACATCGCCAACCAAATGGCCCGTGTCCTCGCCATCGTAAATCGCGACTATAAAATCGAATTCCCGGACCTCGGTGTCGGCGACGTCCGCGTTCCCCCCGGCCTCAAAGCTACTATGCGTCGCTGCCTCAACCGCGATCCCTCGCGTCGCCCGAATATCGCCCAGCTCCTCGACGAACGCGATCCCTTTTTGTACCCGGATGGCGGTGAAGACCTCAAGATTCCGCAGGAGCTGCTCGGTCAGATTATTCAACGCGTTGCGGATCGCTTCCGTGACCCGAATAAGCCGGCGCCTACTGATGATGAGATTCGTCAGTATCCTGCGAGTTTTTACGAGAAGATACGGCAGTTGCTGGAGAGCGAGTAAGAAGAGGTTGAAATCACTCCGCTTTTTCTGCAACTTCTTTACTCTTCTTGCTTCCTCTCTGCATTCCTTGGACTCATCCTTTTTTTTAAAAAGAAAAACTCTTGTCCTACCTTTTTCTTTCTCTTCCTTTTGGGGTTCCATGGGCGTTATCGCTTCTTTCCTAACGGAAGTTGGACAAAAAGAAAAGAGAGGGATTTCTCATTTCATTTGCGCATTAATGATTATGACTGGTGTCTCTGGCGCTTCATGGGAGTTTTGACCATATTCTCATTGTTTTTGTTCCTTGCGGCTGCCATTTCTCGAACCTACCTATTTACCTAGTTTTCTCTTTTTTTTTCGTGGTTCTCGCAAGCCGCCTCTTTGTATGCGTTCAAGCGTCACCTCTTATCCTTTTCCTCTTGTACAGTCATGGCGCAAGGTTCTTTTGCTCTCTCTTTTGTCGGGATACGCTTTTAATGCTTCATGATAAGTTAGGAACGTAGACTTCACTGGTGACTTCACGGTTGCTTGCATTGTATATATGGACCGTGTTGGAGCTGATGGACAAGATATTTTCAATTGACTTTCTCAAACCCTCTGATTCCCTTCCATGTGTGCGAAGTTGATGGTGGTAGTATGATTAACCATCAACTTCCACACCCCTCACTGCACTTGATGATGGCAGTGATCTCTCTATCCATAACAATCCTTCTTCGCTGTACTCGATGGCGACAGTGACCTCTCTATCCATACCGGTCCTTCCAAATGCCAGCTTCTTCCATGCGCCGACTGTACCTCCCAAGTTCTAAAGGCCGCCCTTGCCGTACCCAATCAATCCGTCGGAGGAGGAGGAGGAGGTGATGGTGGAGGTTGTGGAACAACAGTGAGTAAAATATCTGTGCGGCCCGATCTTTCCAACACTTCGCTAACTTGCTGATGCAACGCGACTTGAACAGGCTCAATTTCGCTGCCAAACCAAACGAGCTCCAACTCCTTGAGGCCCTTAAACTTGCACAAGTCGCTGAGCTCTACGATGATCCATGGTTTGAGGCCTGAATGCGGGATCTTGCCATCCCGATAGATGGCGAACGCGTCGACGAGGAGACTCACTCTGGATATGGCGTTGGCTTGGCTGCGTGTGAGATTCTTGCAGAGCATCTCAATCACATGCTCTGAGTAGCCGCTGAAGACGTTGCGGGTGAAGGGGTAGAGTCTGGCCTCAAACCACGTCTGGCGGCAGGCCTGGATGAGCGAGAGGTTGGTGCGCGGGTACTCCCAGGTGCGGTGATCCTGTGTCTCATACTTTGGGCTGATGCTGCCAGCATCGAAGACATAGTTGTACATCTTCATGCGCAGCTCAGCTGGGAGACGTAGGAGGGGAGACCTTTCCTGGTTGCGCTCATAGCTGTGCAATTGAGGGTTTGTTTAGTGGTGGGTCGGGTTTCAGAGTGAGTGTCTTTCGTTGTTTTTTCATGCGGCGGGGACGGGGGGTTGAGTAAATACTTACACTTGTTCAATGAGATTTATCAGCTGTACATGGTAGCGGTACTTATGTGTGTGGAGTGGATCCGACTGGGCCCTGGGCCGGGTAACCATGTTGGATAGTGGTGGTGGTGGAGCGAAAGAGGTTAGAGAGGAGAACGAGACAAGTGATATAGACTGTGGGTGAGCGTTTGTCCTCGCTAAGAGCAGTGAAGCAGTGAATGGTGATTAAGGCGAGTAAGAGGTGAGACAGGGTCTGTCGAGTGGCTTAGCTTTGACGTGAATTGACAGGGAAGGCGTGATGGGAGCCGTTTGTTAGGAAGGAGACGTCATCAGATACTCTGAACAGTGTGGCAAGGCCTCGAACCCAGTAACTGACAGGCCTCAGAATCGTAGAGTCCATTTTGCTTCTGCTGTATCTGCCAGTTCCATGCTGCTTGGCCTCATGTTGTCTGTTTTGTGGGCTGTGTTTGTCTGATACGAGATAGCGGTGTCGGACGTTCTGTCTACTGACCCAACGACACTCTTCACAGGTGCTCGTTTCTTGTCTGAATCAACAATATTTGTGAGGTGAGATCTATCTTTCCAACAAGACAAAGACTTGCCACAGAGATCGATTCTACTGAGAATGGCCAAGTCCAATGGACTTCTGATTTCCATGAGATCTGAGCAGAATCCCCTAAGTCTTATTGCAGATTTGGTACAATAAAAAATTAACCGCGATACGCTGCCTTTTGCAGTAAATGTGTCCTTGGTTGCTTTAGGTCTGTGTGCATAGCTCAGGTCAAGTGACGACTGATGGCAACAACTACACCGAAAAAGACACAAGCTTCGGCATATCACCCACCACAGGCACAGGCCCCGTATCGAGGTCTTCTACATAATCACAGCCCACTACTACAACCTTAATATCACATGAGCCCCTGATCTGCTCAAGCTCTTCCTCAATCAGATAAGCCATCCTGCCCTCTACCATAGCCCAGTCATGCTCCCAATCGTGCGGACCAACCCACTCAACCGTGAGCTTACGTAGCCCGCGAAGATGACCGATGACACGCAGCGTGGCAAGCGCATCTTTACCAAGGTTGACACTCGGGCTCCGCCGGCCGAGAGCCGGATAATAGATCACATCGTTGCATTCAAAATACACGCGTAGATTCGTCATAGCACCGACCTGTGCATCCGTCAAGCGGTAGTAGACAGCAAGTTGCATATCCCAGTGATATCCATGGAACTCATTTAGTGCAAACGGCAGGAGCCTTGCCTCGGCATGTATTTGGCGGCAGGTGGTTAGTAGGGCTAAATGACGTCTCCGGAGGTGAAAGTAAGTAGCGAAGTGAAGTTTTCGTCCGCGAGAGCGACATTTGTGACGACGGGTGCAATTCCTTGTGTCGCATACGCGGATCTGCGTGCCGCCGAGTACATGGCCGTAAATTAGTTCCCGCACGTTGGCGGGAAGACGGAGGAAACTTGAGTCTTGCTCGATTTCGACCATAGTGCTGGATTATGTAAGTAAGTGCATGCATGCATACATGACAGATGTAAACAAACGCCACAAAAGTGCACGTACGCGGTGTCAGATTCATCGTCTTCATAAGGGTGGGTAGGATGCTCGTAGGCGCGTGGGAATGAACGCTTAGACAAGCGCCGCTTCAGTCGATTCAAAGGATCCATCGCTTACTTAGGACTTGCAAAGAACATGGGGGCGAGGCTGTGGGGAAGGGTCCAATCGGCAGGCATAGTTTCAATGGAAAGTGAGCGTGAGGACTTGTGATGTTATGGAACAACAACAGGGATAACAATTCAGGGGCGGCTAAAAATAGGTTATCGCCATCTCGATAAGATACCAGGGAGGAGATGGATCACGGGATCTACTTTTCTTAATTGCATGCATGTTCCCTGTGCCAAGTGAAATGTATGAAGATGGCAGCACCACGATTCCTTGTGTGAAATTTTTTGGAGTTGGGATTAAGTGCTCATAGAAGTCCCTGGTGTCAGAAAAACAGAGGATACTAATGGTGATTACAGCATGACAGGTGTTCTTGGCGTGGACGACGCGACTAGAGCGGGGATTATTTGATGCGACAACATCCGAAAAAAGCAATGAGCTTCACAAGGCTAGCTGATTAGTAAGTATACTGCCGCCTTTTCTCGTTCACGTGCTACATGCCTTCTTTTAGTCCTTCTTCGAAAGAACCTTGAAGTCCCAGTTGTTCAAGTAACCGGAGCCAATCTGGTTGAACATTAGTATTACACTCAACAAGCATCCCTAACAAGAGTCCTTACGCAGAGATAAGTTGCGAAGCTGACCCAGCCAAGGTATGGCGCGAGCAGCCATCCACAGACGGGGTCAACTTGTCCCCAAACATTGACAAGATAGGCGAGTGTGCCACCAAGAGCCAGGATGTCAACTGAAGCAGCAATGGGCTGCTTAACGCCAAAGTAGAGAGGCGTCCACAGAAGGTTCAAGGCAAGCTGGATGGAGTAGAGAGTAGCCCCGTGCTGCATGGTGGTAAGTTGGGCAGCCATATTTCCGTTCCAATTGAGCGATAACATACCTTTGCGAGAGCAACCGTGTCAGGGTTCAAAGAGGATGTGCCAGTGGTGTATGCGCGGTAGGCCGTGTAGCCCATGGTTGCATACAATGCTGTCCAAACCGGGCCAAAGACATAGCCTGGCGGATGTAGAGGAGGTTGCTTCAAGGTACGGTATGTTGTCTGAGACACACTTGCTATTCTCAATGTTAGAGCTCTTCACAATTGCACCAGCTCGGTGAAAAAAAAACTCACGACTAATGGCAAACCCAGTAGCTGTTCCGCAGACGAGCGGCAGCAGGATGGACACTGCTGGGTTTTCAAAGACAAAGCTCGGGAGGGTGAGGGAGGGTACGTAGGTCGTCATGGCTGCGCTGGGGCTCGGCTAGGGGGGTTGTGATCAACGTGTACCTGGGCAACGCATGCAATGGCCCTGGGAAAAGGTGCCTGTGAAAAAGGAAAAGCCGGCTGCACTCCGCATCTCGTGATAATCGGGCGTTGAGCATAAAGCGGGCCTGCCAATCATCAGCCTCGGCCCTCCACGAGAGCAACGCGTTCACGAGCCGGCCCACTTTCCGCGTAGCCGTGCGACGCTAGCCCCGTCTCAGCCGCCCTCGGGCTTCTCCAGCCGCTGCGACCAACCTCACCCTTCCTTCTGTCATCTCCATCTCCGCCGGCGTCGTTCAGCCGGGAGTCACTTTAGCACATCGTGAGTGCACGAGCTTCTCGTCCTTTACCTCCCCCCCAATTGTTCGTACCCCATCATTCCTCTTGTACAGCTATCTCCATAGCTCCTACTGCTTTGTCCCCGTGGCCCTGCGCCTCGGCCTCCCTCCAGCCACCTCTCTGACCTTGTCTACGTGCGCCGCTGCTCGTGTGCGATTAACCGCGCCGCGTGTCTGTGGTAGCCATCCTCATCTTGTCACTCCTTAGATGCCTCTTCTCCCTCGTTACTAGTCGCGCCCTTTTCTCACCGTCTTGTCTCTTATTTGTTCCCTCTCTGACCGAGCCATCATGGCAAACAGCTACCCAGCCCGATTGCCTGCCGAGCACCCGATATACCCCATCGCATCCTTCAGGCGAGATTGCGCGTCCGAGAGAGCAAAGACCACGCGTCTGGCGCTTATGGTTGGTTGGCAGCGCTACCTGTCAACTGCCTGAACACCTATTCTTCCCCAAGGATTCTAGACACCCGTCGCTCCACGAAGCACCCCAAATCTAAGCATCAGCAATAATGGATTCGTATACGTAGGCTCATACTTGACCCGTTGCGCGACGAGCAATGCTGACAATTGGCAGTGCCACTCACGAGGAGGCCAGACCGCCAGCCGACTCATACAGGCGTCGCTCACCAGGTAAGTTCTGGATTCCTGCTTGGGGTCAGCGCACATATCTCGGTTATCGTATCGCGGATCTGCACATCGCTACTCTCATTGCGCGTTTGTCTTCGAACGCGATCGTCACGCACTACAAGTTTTAGCCTGATTGCGCTATCCGAAGACGTGCAGCCGCTACTATAGAGCCCGTCGCCTTGAGCGTCGCGTTGACCCATCTCCCAAGCCCAGGAAGCTTGTGCACTATCTCATAGAAATTTAGCTAACATGCATTCTAAAGGCTCTGGAGACCGCAGAACTGGCAGGCGGCGGTCGCGGTCCCCTCAGAACATCGACCGGTACCAACCCGATCGTGCCCGCGATTACGATGGACCCCGACGTGATGGAAATCGCCGCCGTTCCTCTCCTCCGCCAGTACAGGCTGGCATTGACCGATATGTGCCTGGTCAAGACAACTTCGCACCGACGTTCACGACGAACCCTGTCCCGAATCCCATGCATCTTGAATACCAGGTTGGATTCAACTACTTCGCCGAGTGGTGGCGTGTTGAGCAACTCATGAAAGAGGAGAAAGAACGCGCCAAGAATGGTGGTCGTAAGCCCGGTCTCAAAGGCGAGCGCGAAGCCCGTGAGGAGCGCGGCAAAGAACGTGAGCAGATCCAAGCAGCCTATAACGAGTACAAGGAAAAGCTACAGGTGCAGATGGCCAAGACGTTCGTTGAGAAGCACAAGAATGAAGAATGGTTCAAGGAGCGATATGACCCAGAGTACGACTTGGCATTCAAGGAGAAGCTTCGCCAGTACCGCCATGGTATCTACGAGGACTGGGAGCGCCAGATTGACGATGGTTACTTTGATGAGTTCACACTTGAGGGTATCTACAAGAATGACTCAAACGGAGCTGGCGGCATTGTTGAGAAGGAAGAAGGAGAAACAACTGCTGCTAATGAGGTCTTAGGCGTGGGCGACCTTCTCCCATGCAAAGGCGGCGAGATTCGCGACGAGACCGCTTTCCAACCAACGCTGCTCATCAAAACAATTGCGCCAACCGTCAACCGCGAGAAGGTCGAGGAGTTTTGCAAGGAGCATTTGGGAGAGGGCCCTGGTGGGTTCAAGTGGCTCAGCATGAGCGATCCAAACCCCCTTAAGAAGTGCCACCGCATCGGCTGGGTCATTCTCAATCCAAGCGACGAGCAGCCAATGATCATTGACGATCGTGGTGACGGACGCGACGTTGATGACGAGGAAGGCGCCATGGACGTGAAGCCTGAGGTTACTCAGGGGACACAGAGTACTGCACACAAGGCTCTCGAAGCGCTCAACGGAAAAACAGTCAATGATGAGGTCAGGGGCAACTTCACCTGCCATGTTGGTATCCACGAGCCACCTGCCGCTCCACGCAAGAAAGCACTCTGGGATCTCTTCTCTGCGCCTGAGAGAATCGAGCGTGATCTCGAACTTGCCGAGCGACTGGTCAGGAAGCTCGATTCTGAACTCAAGGCCGGCCACGAGGAGCAATTCTCGAATGTTGACGGCGTTAGCAAAATCGAGCAGCGGGTCGAGGACCTACGCGAAAAGGGCTGGCTCCAGCCTCCAGCAAATGCACCAGCCCCCATGAAGAAGGAGCGAGATCCAGAAGAGTTGGAAGAAGGTGAAGATGAAACAATGGAGGATGACGAGGGCACCTTTGACGACGAAGTTGATGACGAGGAGCTCCTGGTCAAGAAGAAGAAGCTGGATCTGCTCATTGAATACCTGCGCCGGGTGTACAACTTCTGCTTCTTCTGCGTTTTTGAGAGCGACTCTGTCCATGAGTTGATTCGCAAGTGCGCGGGAGGACATCTTCGTCGGCCACGTGCTAGTCTTACTACAGCGGCAAAGGCGACGGCAAAGGCCACAGCTTCCGGAGAAGCGTTCCCTTACAGGAAACAAGAAGCTTCAGGCGACGCTGAGAACGGAGAGAGTGGAAGTCCAGTACAAGAGCGCAAGCCTATGCGTTTGAGCACCAAGAACCAACAGCAACTGCAGCGAGCTTTCAACTGGGTCAAGACATATGAAGAAAAACTCCTTCAGCTGCTCGAGCCTGAAAACGTTGACATTCGCAAGCTGGGCGGTAAGCCGCTGGATGAAGCGATAGAGGACGAGCTTACTCGATATGTGAAGCAAGAAGACGAGTCCAAGTGGCGATGCAAAGTTCCAGAGTGCACCAAGCTATTCAAGGGCGAGCATTTCTGGCGCAAGCACATTGAGAAGCGTCACCCTGAGTGGCTTGAGCAACTACAGAAGGATGTAAGTACATGCATGGATTGGTTGACGGTCAAGTTTTGCTAATTCTGATACAGCTGCGCCTTGTGAACAGCTATGTTCTGGATCCTGCACACATTGCGCCGTCGCGCAGTGATGCAAACAGCAATGGCCATTTCCCAATGGGTAACCATGTTCAAGCGACTGGAACTCCGCGAGGATTCAACCTGGCCAACATGAGCATGGCGATGGCGGGAGGCAATGGAATGCAGAATGGAATGCACATGGGCGGCATGTTCAATCCTGCCATGGGCGGCACCTGGGACCCTGCTGCTACTCATGATGATCGCGCAGGACCTATGCGACGGGGCGGCCATCGCTTCAATAACCGTACAGGACCCTACGACCGACAAGCTCGTGATGGACGTAGTCGGCCGGCTGTTAATGGCGGTCGTCTGACACCTCCACGCGGTACTCGGCCAGGACCCCAACGCTACGGCGAAGGTGGACCTGGACCTGTACAGTCTGTGCAAGGCCGATCTATTAAGAGTTACGAGGATCTAGATGCGGTTGGCGGAGGAGGCGGCGGAGAGCTCAATTACTAAGCTCTGTAATTGGTGTGGGTCCCTGCAGCCACGGTCACGGTGTAAGATGATAACAGGGTCGGCGTTGACAAGGCTGCTTTTTTTGTTATCCCTGATTGAAGGCTTCCCCAGATTGCCTTGATAGTTTGCTCGGGAAGGATAGGTACTGGGCGGTGTCTTGAGAATGTTTCATCATTGACTGTGGTCTGGGCTTGTTTAGGCCCATGGGGGGATGATTGTGTATGTACGTTCTAGGTAAAATAAGCCCAAATCCAGATTGATAGCAACAACAACCGGCTGGCAAGTGCAGAGTCATTGTAGGTCAGCAAGTTTTCAGGGGGCATCGTCATATGAGCACTAAAAGTACGAAGAAAGCCGCAATGTGACCAGGTTGGGCATCAGCCATGGGGTGGAGCCAACACCCGCCAGGAACCGAGCCAGATGCAATGACTGGGCCAATGGCCAGGACATGTGCAATATCGTTTTTTTGTTGCATGCACAGGCTATCCTCGCCGCCAAGGGGGAGCTTTTGGCAGGCTAAGCGATGCGGCGGTTGTGATTGATGAGATGGTGGAAGCCAGTCAGATCAGCCTCGGGCCGGCCAGGCGTACATGGTGACAAGACGAAGACGCCCCCTATGCAGCGTCAGCAGGGGCAAGGGGAATCCATCGTGCTGTAAGTAAGATAAGCAGGGCAGGGCAGGACAGGACAAGACGGACAATGGGGGAGCAGCGAAATGAAGTTGTGCACGCGGCCAAGGCGCAGAGATGCCGTGCCATCCTAGAGCAGCGTCGTGGATCCTGACGGGCCCATACGTAACCGGGATGGTGGGCGGGGATTGCGTCACTCAGCCACAGGTGAGTGCACCGCCGACCTTCGCTGCTCTTCCGTCACGCCCTTTTCGAGGCCAACAACGGGCGGTGCAGGCGGTGCAGGCGGTGCAGGCGGTGCAGGCGGTGCAGGCCCCATTCTGCTTGCTGGCCTCCGTTGCTGTGCCCACATCTCCACACTTGCACCAGCCTCAGACGCAGCCACAAGCACAGCGACGTGCTATTCCGGGCGTCATAAACACGCGTCGATCCCCCCCCCCGCCAGATCGCTTCAGGCTGCCCTTTTGCATGCGCATTTTTATACCGCGTCGCCCTTTGCTCGCGTCGTAGCTCCTTAGCCCGGGTCGGCCTTACCCCTACAGTGAGTGGTGGTACTATTAATTCAGGCATGCCCACCCATTCCAACCCCCCACCTGCCATTCAGCTCAACGGTGTTGCCCAGCCCATCACCATGAGTCCCCAGACTACCGCAAGCCACCTCACTGAGCCGGACCGCCCAGCCCATCCTGTCCGCAATGACACCAGCTACTCCAAATTTTCCGTCGTGTCCGTACCGCCTGAGGGTTCCATCTTGACCGGCAAGCAGGAGCACTGTACGATCTCCTCTTCCAGGCACATGATACCCGAAGCCACTAAACAAACTTGCAGACCTCAAGCGTGAACTCATCTCTCGGCAAACAAAGTACGAAATCGCCGAGCTCTCCTCTCCTACGGCTCTGAGGCGCTTTGGCGCGCCCTTTCACTCTGATGCAGGCGAAGTTGCGCCCGAAGATTCTGAACTGCCCCTCCTCCGCTACATTTTTGTCAACCATGTGCGAAATTTCCCCTTCTTGGACAAAGCCAAGGAGAAGGAGTTCTGGCAGGACAAACTTCAAGTTGTACGTTGCACGAGGCCAGAACGGGTGGACAGGGAGCTGACAACAGTGCCACCGTAGTTTCTGGAATCGTTCGCGAGCAAAGACATTTCGTCCTCAGAGGACCGTCTCGAGGAGACCAAACGGAGGAAACTGGCGCTCAAGGCCGAGAAGCTGGTCGAGCTCATGATGGTCTCCGGTATTCCGACCGCGTCGGGCTACGAAGAGAGGATTCGCTTTGCAGAAATGGAAATCGTCGACCGACAAGCCGACGAAAAGGGCCTCACAATGAATGCACCAAGCGGTCATTCCATTAATGGCTGGGATGTAAACGTTGCGGGTGTCAGAACAACATCAGTGAAGAGACACCTTCGGTACCACACACATGCGGTAAGTCAATGTCCACGCACAACGGCACAAGTCTAACGTAAAAAAACTCTAGGAGTACATTATACGTGTCAGACAAGGACATGGTCAAGATATCTATATTGGTCGTCGATATGCCGATTTCGTTCAGTTACACAAGCGGATACGTCTTGAGCTACCTGGCAAGGTTCTCGCCCCGCTACCCCGCAAGAATGCTAAAGATGGAATCCTACAATCAAATGCCGATGACGACGAAGTCAGCTCCATCTCCTCGGAATCTACTCAAGGACCGCCTCCTATCGAATCCAATGAGAGCAGCAGCGGGGGTGGTGGTCTTAGGAGCTACATTTTTGGTGGCGGACACAAGAAAAATGCATCTCAAACCTCACTAGGGAAGCGTTCACCACGACCTTCAGGAGAGTTCTCTGGATACAAACCTCCTCGCAAACTGTACCGAGAAGAGCAGCGTGTTTCCCTTCGTGCGTTCTTGCGATCATTCTTGCACAATGAGCGAATTGCACACTCAAATGCTATGGCTGAATTTCTCACACGCGACCCTATAGAAATCAACGAAGAAGAAATGGAGGACATTCAAAGACGAGAAGAAATGGACCGAAGGCGCACAGAAGAGCAAAGGCAATTTTACGAAGTCGCACGACAACGAGCTGCAGAGCTTGACATCCACATGGAGAAGTTCAGAAGAGAGATAGTAGAGAGCAATGGACTTTCTCATCTGTTTCAAGAGATCAGGGTTAAAAACACTATCAGGGAACTTAAACCGGAGTATCAAAAGTTTGCCGAGTGGCTACGGATAGAGGTTGCTGCTACTCTCTACCACTTGTTTCTGGCAGAAGACAACTCCCCGGAGCTTTTTGCCCAGGCGAAACGCATACATTCTTTAGTACCATACGGCGTCCTAAAAAACGTCATCAGAATTGCCAACCCGGCAGCCGTCATGAGCGGAGTTTTGGATCTTTTCCTTGCACAGCCCTTTGGCGCTCGATCGCTTTTGCAGCGCATATTTGGCATGGCTATCAACGATGGCGTTAACTCTGTGCAAAAGACCATCACTATCCTCGCATCAACAAGGATCAAGGACGAGGTGCTTTGCAACAAGATCAAGGCATACGTGCAAGCTGATGAGGGTGTAAAGGAAGCTATTCGTCAGGAGGCTGCGAGCGAGAATGTGGATGTTGTGGTCACGATACTGCGATCAGAGTACTTCGAACCAGAGCTGAGCCCGCAGCAAGTCGAGAAGGTATTCAATGCTTATGTTGCCTGGAACAACGCAGTCGAAAATGTGAGATCGAGACGGCTTAGTCGAACAGCTAGCCGGCGAAGTACTACCAGCACATCAACTAACGCGACCGATCAGGTCGAAAAAGAAATGCGCTCAGGTGCAGAGCTCTTCGCTCACCTCAAGCAATATCTGAAGCTCTGTCTACGTCAAAGAGATAAGCTTATGATGCTTCAAATCATCGAGGAGGTAAGCTTACCTAAAGCTAATATTATAACAACAACAATGACTGATGAATCATAGCCGACAACACTGCAACTATTCCGGGACTTGTTCACCATCTTCTACGAACCCTTGGTTCGCGTCTACAAGTCTGCGAACGTCTACAACAGTATTACCGACTTTGCCCTTTTCGCCGACGATACCATCAAGACGATTGAAGCATGTCAACGGCAGGAAGTCTCAGCAGACCCCAACCAAACCGTTCAAGCGTTTATCGATTTGTGCGCCCGTCATGAGGATAATTTCTACAAGTTTGTTCACGAAGTGCACAAACACGACAATGGTCTTTTTGACCAACTTATGGGCTGGCTGGAGGGCATCTTGGACTTCTTGCGCCATGGCCCTGGAAGTGGTGGTAAGCTCGACATGAATGCACTCTTCCGGGGCGCTATAGACTCGAACTTGATCGACAAGGAAAAGGCAATTAGTGAGATCAATAGTTTGATCAAGTGGCAAATGGCTAGGAAGAAGTGGCACTCGGACAAGACGAGACAGAAGATGGCGAGCGGGGACGAGCCTGATCCACTGATTGGCGGTATTGCTGGCTTCAAGTCTAGCGACTTTGGCCTCAACGCGGTTTGTTCTCACCAACCCATGAAACCTACGATTACGTACTAATATATTGCAGATGGATCTCCAAGATCTGGAACTTGATGACAACGGCAGCGATTCAACCGATTCAGAAGACATGGACGATGCAGATGTTGCAGACCCGATTGAAGCTGAGCGCAAGAGTAGAGCCAAAGCCGCGGACCGGTTACGTAGGAAGGCAGGTGAGCCCGAGAAGCCGCATATCGAAGAGCTATACAAGCTCAACGATAGTTTCAACAGCATGCTTCGAAGCGTGCTTGCTTCCTAAGCTGATTACAACTTTGTCCGGAGACATGTGGATAATCGTTAGTCTCTCCCTGTCCTTCCGCATGCCATTACTATATAGAATTTTATTCTGTGAGAAATATACTTAATGAAACAATGAACACATGTCCTCATCGCTGCACACGGACTCGATGCTCACTCGAATGATGGCGCAGTGCACCGCCACTTAATCTAGGAACGGGCCTGCCCAATGCACGTTAGCGCGGCTGCACCGCGCGGAGCTAGCGATCAGTCGCATAGCTGTCCTTTAGTGCCAGCCGAAGTGTCGCAACGTCCACGCGTTGAATTGCTTACCCTTTTCTCTTTTCTGTACAATGATCTGGCGACTCAGGCACAGGCAGTGCTGATCTTCGTTCTTGTTCCCTTTTTCCCAAATCACCCGGCAACGTCAATTGCCCTTGCATCCTCCAGTCAACTCAGCCAACCGTTTGTTTAACGCACGGCTACTCCCTGGATACTAAGACGACGCTGAGTAGGACCCTTTCACCCCACCACCTCGGCTGTTGTCTTGCTTTCTCTCTGAGGGTGTCGCAACCTCGACCTTGGATTCATTATCCGGAACATTTACAGTAAATACTATCCTGCAGTGGTAACCCACCATCATGCCTGCCAAATCGCGATTCACGAGGCTAGACGCCTTTACCAAAACGGTCGAAGATGCGCGCGTTCGTACAACCTCCGGAGGAATTGTCACAATTGTGAGCCTGTTGGTCATCTTCTGGTTAACGTGGGGCGAATGGGCCGACTATAGGAGAGTGACTGTTAGGCCCGAATTAGTCGTGGACAAGGGACGAGGCGAGCGCATGGAAATCGCGTTGAACATATCGTTTCCGCGGGTACCATGCGAACTGATTACGCTAGATGTCATGGATGTCTCTGGAGAACTACAGATGGGTGTAACACACGGTATCAACAAGGTTCGATTGGGCCCAGAGAGAGAGGGTAGCAAGACCATTGAAATCAAGGCCCTAGATCTGTAAGTATACTTGGGGTTCTACATCTGAAGTGGGGCTACATGCAGAGAGGGGCAAAACATACTGACCACGCTTCTAGGCATGCTGATGAAGCCTCCCACCTTGCCCCTGATTACTGCGGTGAATGTTTTGGCGCACCTCCCCCTGCCAACGCGAAGAAGCCCGGTTGCTGCAACACATGCGACGAAGTGCGTGACGCCTATGCTTCCATATCATGGTCTTTTGGTCGCGGAGAGGGTGTCGAACAATGTGAGCGGGAGCACTACGCAGAGCATCTTGACGAGCAGCGCCAGGAAGGATGCCGTCTTGAAGGTAGCATCCGTGTCAACAAGGTCGTTGGAAACTTCCATATTGCTCCCGGAAAGTCGTTCTCCAACGGCAACATGCACGTGCATGATCTGGAAAACTACTTTAAAGACGAATATGCGCATACTTTCACGCACAAGATCCACCAGCTTCGGTTCGGTCCCCAGCTGAGCGACGTAGTTATTCAGGGCATGCAGGATAAGCACCGAGGTTCCGGCCCTGGTAGCTGGTCGAACCACCACGTCAACCCCCTCGACGACACCGAGCAACACACTGATGAAAAGGCCTTTAACTTTATGTACTTTATCAAGGTTGTTTCGACAGCTTATCTGCCCCTTGGTTGGGAGGACGCTGCTCCTCGCCTCACCAAGCATGATGAACTCCTCGGCTCTACCATCGATGCTTCGCACAAGGGTAGCATCGAGACGCACCAGTACTCTGTAACGAGTCATAAGCGAAACCTAAAGGGTGGCAATGACGAACAGGATGGACATAAGGAAAGGGTTCACGCTCGTGGTGGCATTCCAGGTGTCTTCTTCTCTTATGTAAGTCATACCTTGTTTTTCAATATACAGGTAAGACATGGCTGCTAACCCCTGAATAGGATATCTCACCCATGAAAGTCATCAACCGCGAAGTCCGTGAAAAGACCTTCTCTGGCTTTCTTGTCGGCCTTTGTGCTGTGATTGGCGGTACGCTTACTGTCGCTGCTGCTGTTGACCGCGCCCTATACGAGGGTGTGAACAGGATCAAGAAGATTCATTCCCAGTAGTCATAACCTATCGTAAAACCATGAGAAGTGCAAGACAGAGGTCATGTCTTGCTGCACCCATGTAGGGATCTTTGTGTGGAGTTTTGGCGTTTGCATTGCTGGTCTAAAGCGAGTTAGATTTGTAGACTGAGATGAAGTCTGGGGGTGGGGGGCTAGATGTGGGCAGGGCAGAGGTGTAGGAGGATAGATATTTCCTGGTTCAGGGAACGAACAACATGTGTATTATTTAGGTTAGCCAATCAGATAAGAATTCTACGTATCAATATGCATCTCTTGTGGAATCTGGGAAATAAAAAAATCTCCGTTCGCTTACAGGACATTGCCGTTTGCGGCTGTGGCACAGTGGCGACTGCAGAGCTGCCTACGATTCAAACGCAGAAAGACAACAGCTATGGAATGTGAGACTTCACGCTGGGTAATTTGCTTCAACAGTGAAACGAATAATCGGTGGTTTCGCGTCATTGTTTGTAATTAGATTATTGATCTGATTGGCGTAGACATGTCTAGGCTGCTACTAATTGTCTCTGAAAGAAGGCAGCGATATAAAGTGCGCATCGTAGCTTTGACGATTGAGCCTTCCAGAATTACAAAGATTAGATGAAGACTACATATCCAATATCACATATCACACATTGGCAGTGAAGAATAAGAAAGAGTGAAGATGTGGTAGTAACAAAGTGTCATTCGACGTCGGAAGAGTCATTGGCGTTGACCAATGAGAGGTGTCGTAGGATGACATCGTGGCTTGGCGACGCACGGCCAGTCAGCCTTTATATACGGTTCCATCCTCAGCCAACTTGCTTACACACCTCCACATCTCTCTCACACTCGCTCAAACCTACTGGAATCATTTCAACAGCCATGAACGATCAGCCCCGAGGACGAGGACGTGGCCGCGGCCGTGGGCGTGGCAACTGGAGTGCCTCTTTTACACCACAGAACAACGATGGCGATCAGATGATGGTTGATGGTGACTCCTCGCGTGGACGAGGTCGAGGCAGAGGACGTGGGAGAGGTTTTAGAGGAGGCCAAAATCACTTTCAATACGACAACCGCCCACGAGAGCCGCCTATTGACATCGAAAAAGTCAAGTCAAACCCATCCTACCCACTTATGGAAGGTTTTCTCGGGCGCCGTTACGATGCAACCAACAAGCTGCTCAATCTCTCCGCCATTGCCAGCGATCAGGAAATTCTCCAATCCGGAATGTTCGCTACAGAAGGAGCTCAAAAGAAGTTTTTCCCTGCCCTTATGATTGTTTGCGACGCCATCCTCGAGACACAGGAAGCGAAAGAGCAAGCGATTCACAGCGTTACAATGTCTGGCAATAATCTTCAAAATACGCACGCTGTCTACCAACTCTGCAATCACTTTCGCCACATTCAGAACCTTGACTTGAGTAACAACGCTTTTGCGACGCTGGACGCGCTCAAGCCATGGAAAGGCCGTTTCAGAAACGTCGAACATCTCATCATCGACTCATTTCCCTCGTCAAACTGGGAAGATGAGATCATCTCGTGGTTCCCCAAACTCAAGATCCTGAACGGCAAACAAGTGCGCCCCGGTGCAGCGCCAGGGGCAAACGCACAGCCACAGCAAATACCTCAATCCAACACCCCAGTACCCGCAGCCGCAGCAATGGATCCAGAGCAGCAGAGAAAAGAAGAAATGATTCTCTACGTTCAACACGAAACCAACCTCACACGCGACTATGCAATTCAGTGCCTGGAAGCGGGCCAGTGGAACCTCGAGCAAGCAGGTGCTCTATTCGCTCAAAGTCGCGATTCTCTACCACCGGAGGCTTACAACTAAGGATCGTCTACTCAAAAGCATAATGCCATCTACGCATGCTTCTCCTGGAGACATGATTATGTGCTCCGCTCGAGAGGTTTAAGTGGGATAGAGCTCGTCCGATAGCGCGTGTGGTAAACATTACAAGAACGACTGCCTGTATATGATGACCAGGAACCAAGAAAAAAGAGGAGGGTCCTTACTACGTTATCGCCAAATCAACACCAAACCACGCGAACTCGAAAATCCAGTCCTCCTCTGATCAACACATATACTGGTAGTCTTTCAGCACACATGGCCCTCCTCACCACGACACACAAACATACTATGGAGTTTCGACTTCTTACTCAGCACATACACACAACATCACCCACATCCTCCACTACGCCCACAAAAGACACCAACGACGTCTCTACTATTAGATATCGTCTCGTCTATCCTCAATACACACCCATCCACTATGAAAGCGCAGAGCGCTATTTTTCCTCTCTAACAACCTATCTTCTTGTACCCTCGGTCTGAACGGCACATACGCTCAGCAGAGCTCAGAGCATAGCATGGCGTTTCCTTCAGTTTTCTGTTTTCATTTGAGTAAAAAAAAGTTGTCAAGCAAGCGGGCGCGGGAGGCAGGGTATTGCGAATTGGAATGCAGGAATAATCATTCTGGGATGAAGAGAAATTCAGGGGGGGGGGGGGGGCTAGGCAGGGACAAGGAGGGAGGTCGAAGGAGGAGAAATGAAAATATCATATGTATGATAGAGCAAATCTTTTCTTCTTTTTGACATTGCACTGGTTTCTGCCGTGATGCGCTCGGCGACTTATAAGGTAGTGCCTCATACATGCCATGTCTTCACACATACAGCAAAAACGATACACAAAAAAACACCCAAAACAGACAAGAAATCTCGCTCTAGGCCCCTAAGCCGAGCCAATCATATAATATATTCATCTCATATGCTCTGCCCAAAAAACCACACCATTTTTTCGAAGAATTAGAAGAAGAAAAAAAGGTCTTATTCGTTACACTGATAACCGAAAAATAAAAGGAACGCGCTCTAATGACTCTTCCTCTGCGCATTAGCCAACGCACTATTAAGCGCAGCCGTAACATCCACATGGAACAGCGGCCTATTCAGTCCCTGCACCACCGCTATGCGTCCTCTCTGCCTTGGCCCCTGACCAACTTCATATGCCTTGCTATCCTCAAGCTGCTTGTTAAAGCTACCAGTTTCCGAGGTAGCAGAGTCGGAGATATCTGCTGCTCGGGCACCGCCACTACCGCCGCCGTGTGCGGCTTCAACGTCTTGAGTACGGATCTGGGATAATGTGCGTTGAGCAAGCAGGTTCTGACGTGCTTCAGCTTGTGCGGCGGCAGAGTCTGAGCCGCCGATCTCGGCGACGCTGAAGATGGGTTTCCAGCGGTGGGTGACGCCATCTTCGGGAAGGTCGGGGGTGTAGTACCCGAAGCCTGCGGCGGCGAGGGACCGCTTGGTCCAACGGTTGTTGATGTTGCAGAAGTGCCAGTCGACTGTGTCGGGGGCAGCGTACTTGTCGAGTTGGTTGCGGACGTCGATTAGGTTTTGGATTGCGGTGAGGTCGACGTTGTTGACCGAGGAGAAGTCGAGAATGATGGCTTTGAGGGTTGGCCGGTTGTCTTCCACGGCAGTATCTTTGCCGCGTCGTGGGCCAGGGTCGTTCCATGGACGGTCGCCTAGTCTGCCGTAGGTTGACTGGTTGGTACGGCGGGTCTTGGCGAATATGGTGTCAGTGAGTTGATCGAGATAGTGGTTTGCATTGGGATAGTTGAAGCCTTCGCTAAACCGGTAGATGAAGATGCCCGGGTACGGGTCTTCCAATTCGATGGTAGGGTTGGACCCATCCTTGTGGTCGATGGGAAGGAAGACTTCGCGGATGGAATGCTCTCCCTCAACCGGCTTCTGTCTTGAATTGGGTGATCTCTTGTCGTCATCCGTCGGGTCAAGAATGTGGTCACCAACGACAGAGTGAATCTTGGCTCGTCCCATGAAGCGTCCCCTGGCTTTGAATAGACGGAAAGCGAACATGCCAGCAGATACAGACACAGTGACATAGATGCCATTTTCGATACTGGAGAAAATGGTAACTATCACGCCAATGAAGAAGATAAGTACTTCAAGTGGAGAGATTCTCCAGAACTGATACACTGTGTTCGGTGGTGTGATCAAGTCGAGTACAGCATGAATGATCACTGCTGCCAGTGATGCGTTCGGGATGTACCAGAACATGGCCGGAAGGGCGTAGATGGCGAGCAACACTACCACAGCGGTAATCACACCTGCGAAAGGTGTGCGGACTCCAGCCTTGGACTTGATAGCGGTACGGGAGAAAGAGCCGGTTGCAGGGTAAGCTCCAAGAAAGGGACCTAGGCAGTTGGATACGCCTATAGCCACCAGCTCTTGCGAAGGGTTTATAACGTAGTTGTTCACTCTGCCAAATGACTTGGCGATGGAGATGTGCTCAATGAGAAGCACAATAACTGTGGATGGTAGTTCCGTGGCAAAAGACTTGATGATCGGAATTGTAACCTTTGGTACGCGAGCGTGTTGGAAACCTCGGGGAACGTTTCCTAGCGTGGAAATAATGGGCTTGGTTCCGTTAGCCCTGTGCGACCGGTTCACCAGATAGCTGAACAGAATGTACAGCAGAATGACAAACACAGTGCGGAGCGTGTTCAAAAAGAAGAACAGCCTAGCCTTTGCTGGGAAACGTTTTGCAAGCTGGCCACAGGCGAATCGGATAGCATACAAGAGGAAGAGACATGTTAGACCGAAGGATGCGTTGAGATCAGTGCGTCCAAGATGCTTCAGCGAGTTGATAATGACTTTGTATGTGGCCTCCCTCGTAGAGAAACCTTTGATTCCCATCATGGTTGGGAACTGTCCAGCAGCAATGCTGATGGCAGAACCAGTCATGAAAGCTGAGATTGCAGGTAGAGAAATGAGGTCGACAATCCAGCCTAGCCTTATGAGGCCGAGAAAGAGGACAATTGATCCGGCAATAATGGCCAATGCAGATGCGATCATGTCTCGTGAGATGTTTTGGCCAGCCAATTTCTCTTCTGCCGATAGCAAAACTCCGCCCGTCACTGTAGAAAGGACAGCGACAGGCCCGATGGTAATATCCTTGGAGGTAGCGAAGAACCAGTAGATGAGTACGCCCATGAAGGAGGAATACAGTCCGAACTCGACGGGGAGCTCAGCGAGCTTTGCGTAGGCCATGCCCTGGGGCACGACAACCGCACCAACGGTGATACCTAGAACATGTAAGCATCGCGACTGTAGGAATCCTGCGTATTGACATACCAGCAACAAGATCTCCGATTAACCACTGCATATTGTAGCGAGTTATCCAATGAACAAAAGGGAATAAGCTATACACATATTCGCTGAATTCCCGAGCGCTGGGAATAACCTCCTGAAGCCATTCCCGCGCTGTTGGCTCTTCCTCGACATAGACGTCGGCAGAGTCGACGGTAAACACACTCTCGCCTCGTGTGACACGGTCCGAGCCGGTCTCGTTCCGGTAATGGAGATCGATACCCAAGACCTTTGCCAGGCCTTGGCCAACCTTGTTGGCTGTCGAAGCCATCGTTGATTGGACGTTACTCCAACGTGAACGTGGATTGGTGTACCGGGTCAGCCTTGGAATGCCAAGTGCTTGATATCCAGTACCAGGGAGTTGGACAAGACCAAGAAGGGTTCAAACAGGTGCGACAAGAATATGTCGAAGGCTAGTCGGAAGCTTGTCTTCTTAAGACAGCGGGGGGAGGTGGGAAGTATGGGATGGTAATGATTTGGTGCTAATCCCAAATGCCGCAGCGGAAGCGAAGCTTCTCAAGGGCTGCTTGTCAACGTAGATGGCGTCCGAAGATGGTGGGTGCGAGTAGGACCGAGACCGTGGCAGCGTCTCGATATTACTTTAGTTGCTGGGCTGATTGCGTGATCGCTTTGACCCCCAAATAAGCTATCCAAATGTGTAAATAGTAGTGGAGCTTGTCGAATTGCGCGACCGGCAAATACTCAGTCTACGGGATGCAAGGGCAATGAAGGCACTCCGAGGACCGGAAGCAGATGAGGCTGGGAGAGCAATGTCTTTGCGCAAAGCCGGCGTGGGTGAAAATTTGAGACAAGTGACAGCATGGCTGAACATGCCGACCATGTGGCCACAGGTCGTAAGCAACAGTGACGCCTTTCGCCGCATTTCCAGCTTCGATATGGGTCAGGTCCGCAAGGGTGTGCGGGCGAGACGGCAGGGATGGTGGGTGAAGGATGTGATAGTTGGACCTGGCTCGCACTAGTACCCAATAAAAGCGGATGGGGCCCGTATTGCGTGCTCGGGAGCAGAGATGTCGACTTCAGCGTGGGAGCGTTGCCAAAGAAGCTTATTTGCATAGTAAACCGTGTACCAGAGCTTGTACGCTATGGCAAACTAAAAATTTCAAAGCATTGACTACCGTGTCTTCAAGCCGTCTGTTTTTCCGCGGATGTAGTATGAGGCCTGCTCCATGGCGCAGGGCTGCTAGATGCTATGGAACAGACTGGACTCGATAATGACGCAAAAGTAGCCCGAAATCGTCAGGATGGTGATCTTCATCTCGAGCGTGCTCTTTGCCCAGCATGGCGTTCATGTTGTTGCAAGATTCCAGCTGACGTCACATCGTGTGCGAAGTCGGTACCACGGCATCGTTGAGACGGCGCTTGAAGTCCCAACGGGAACTCACATCTATTCCAGGGTAAAGGCTGTCAGGAACAATATGTACTATTATGGTATACTGGAGCTATGTCTAGCATGTACGAAGAGTGCGTAAGTTTATGCGTTCAATTAAGGTTTCTTCGGAGGATTGGAATGAATGGCAGCCGCCCGTGGGGGACTTTGCTTGTGACCTGAGACGCACGGACTCAGTTGAATGTGGGGGTGCCTTTTTTCAGGGCAGAGAGACACACGGGGTGCATACTGCTAATGTCCAGACAACTTCGTGCCAACATAATGGCATTTTGATCCTTCATTTGCATTCCACTGTTGGTGTGTTGAGTATACGTGCCTCGGCTGAGCATCACATGGCCCCTTCCTTTGGTCCATAGTTCCAGGATGACGACCGAAGACATGCCCTAGTCCACGCAGGTGGAGTACATGTTCTCTTCACACCCATTTTATCTCTTCTTGTCAAGAAACCACGAAAAAAACCAGGGCATGGCAATCTCAAACAAGTCCATAGTCCCGAACTCCGCGTCGTCGGGGCGAATAGATCTGCAAGCGGGCAATCTCTGCTCTAATTATGGGGCCTTTCCGCTGCCTAGCTCACAATGCCTGGAAGAAGATGGATGTCTTTCCACTTTCCCCACAGAAACCTCGGGGGGAAATCGCCGGAACCACTGATTCCCTCATGTTGCGCATAGACTTTTAGCGGGGCAGCATAACACGTATGCAATGATCCCTAGAACTCTTCTTGATGTATACGAACTTGGCGAGGCTGTTTCTGAACATAACATCACGTGATACCATCTGCACACCTGGATGCAATAGCAGAAACAGGACTGTAGCCTTATATTTGGTAACAAAAAACGATACAGGCAAACACTCCAAGCCTGAAACACAGTTCCATACGCCATGTATGGTTTTTTCCCTGTACGAACCTATTTCAAACCTAACCCCTCTTCCTCGCCTTCTTCTCCCTCTCGTACGCATTCTTCTCTCTCCCCTCCTCACCCTGAATCTCCGCCACAAGCCTCTTATACTTAGTCTCATACGCGCGATCCTTCTCCTTCTTCTCCTTGAGGCTCTCTCTCGCAATGAAATTGGCATCCTTGCGCAGCTCACGCATCGCACCTTTCCTTTCACGCTTGTACTCCTTCTGAAGTTTCTTGGCATCTGAGCGCTCCTTGTCGGGGTCGTAGTGGCGGTTGGGATCGAAGGATTCTTCGAATTTGGGAATGTTGGATTTGATGGGGAGGGGTCGGTGGTTGTGGAGAAGGAGAGGACGCCGTTTAGAACGTGCGAGGGAGATGCGGGCTTGTAGGTTTTGTAGGGTGGAAGTTTGCTTAGCTATCTTGAGGGGGCCAAGAAGGGGTGTAAAAATTTCGATGAATGAGGCTGAAGTGGTCCAGAGTTCGGCGGCTGTGATGACATTCTTGCCGTGTGCCGTGAGAAGTGCTGGTGTAGCGTGCTCTGAGGCCAGACAGAGACCAGTGTAGCGGACGAACTCGGGAATGTATCGCTTTGATAACCTTTGGTAATGGAGACATTGTGCGCCGATAAAAGCGCCAGTAGCAACGTCTTTGGTTGAGGCTGGTGAGGTAAGACCCATCCAGCGCGCCATTAGAGTGACAGCTGGCGTAACGACTTGATGGAAGTGATCAGAGGTAGGAAAGATGGATCCTATCGCTGATAGGATGGCGAGATCGCCAGGCGTAGGATCATTCGAGATCTGCAATTGCTTCAAGTGTTGTCGGAACTTGGTCGCAATTTGAACAGGGTATGAGCGTGACATGGAATGGATATGTCGAATGATGGACTCAATGACTACTAATGGAGCGGCTGGAGTCTCGTTCGCAAGGTACGAGACATGGTCAATGAGTGCGCAAGCAAAATCAGCAAGCTTGTTCTTGTTGTCCGCATGGAGACCGGCATGGTAAAGTGCACGTATCCTTTGGATCACAGTCGAAGTGTCGTTATGGGCAACTCCCTTGAAGACCTTCAACAACTCCTCGTGTGACCGAGGGCATGCGTATGTGAATGCCAGCTTTGATGAAGGCTCAGCACTCAGAGTAAGCACACCGTTGACAGCCTTTGGTTGCTCTTTGCGCTCTGGCATGACGTCCTTGAGGAAATCAGCATCTTCGTCATCCATGGCCATAGTATCGTCGATAGCGGAGCCAGCGTCAGATTCTTCGTCGGAAATGTCAGCTTCAGAATCGGTAGCGACGAGGTCCTCGTCCATGATGAAATCATCCTCGTCTTCCACACCCTCTGGTCGGAGCTGACCGGGAACTTTCAATCCAAATTCGGCAGCGTCGTCCAGAAGACTGTCCTCATCCTCGTCTTCCTCCGATTCATCAGCGCCGTTCTTGCGTGGCTCCTCATCATCGCTGATCTCCTCTCCACGCATCCTCTTCATGCGCTTTTGCTCGAGCTCCTTCAGTCGGTCAGCCTCCTCCTTGGCCTTTTCCTCCTCTGTCTTTGTCCGTTCCGTTGGCTTGGCACGCTGGTCCTGCAGCAATTGGCGCACCCTGGTATCGTACTCCCTATCCTTATCCTGTTGTGTAGTTCCAGCAAGGAGTGCCGCGCGATCGGCATTCATTCCAAAGTCGTTGAGCTGCGAGCCTTTAGGTGCTTCAGGTTCTGGCTTCTTGTTGATGTGTCCTCGCAACGCAGTCAGAACATCGTTAAGATCCTTGTCGAGCTCATCTCTCAGTTCGTCATCGTCTTCTTTTTGTGCCTGACGCTCGTACTTGTGCTGCTTTGACTTGGCTATGACCTCCTTCATGACCTCCTGCTTGCTCTTCTTCCTCTCTGGCTGCTCCTCTGCAGGGGCATTATCGTCTACCTCGCCATCCACATCGTCTCTTCGTCTCTTCTTCTTTAGGAAACCATCCTCGTCATCGCTCGACCCAGCAATACTAGCCGCATCGTAATCTTCCTCGCCAATCTCGTCATCAAAACGTAGCGATTGACCTCCGTGCGTAAGCTCAACCTCGTCAGCGTCATCCTCGAGATCAAACACATTGCCGCTCCTCTTGCGCTGCTGCTCCCGTTCAAAGCGCGCCATCATCTTATCATCCAGACTCATTGCCGGGTCATCTTCTCCTATTCGCCTGTCGAGAATACCTCCAACTTTGTTCTTGCGGTGCATCTCTGGCAACAGTGACTTCCTACGGGCTTCCTCGCCCTGGCTCTTTGTGACGCCAGGCCTGCCCAGAATCTTCTTAGGCGCATTTTCCGCCTGCGCAGAGACATACTCATGCTTGTGTGGGCGCGCAAGGTGCTTGAACTCGAAGGGATTGAAAGATTCGCGGATCGATGCGAGCGCAGAGGCTCTTCGTTGGTGGTGTTCGGCGTTTTTTGATTGCGACTTCTTCTGCTTCTTCGACTTTTGCGGACCAGTGATGCCCTGTTCGCGCAGCGAGCTTTTCAGCCGCTTCAATTGCGAAGGCGGCATTTTCCCGGTGTTTGTGTATCAAGACTGGCAAAGCCCTGTTCAGGTAGTGGCCGCGGGCGCTGCAAAAGAGGCAGAGGTCGCAGGCGACACGAGATGGGCGGTAGCATGAAATTATTTCAGCGGGCCAAAAGTTCGACATGGGTCCTCGCCTTAGCGCGACTGGTCTCCCCCACATCCACGTCCGCCCGCCGCACCACTCCCGACATCATCGCTCGCACGCGTGGAACTACACAGTAGCACTACGCCGTTATGTCTCCAACCCTCCACCCTACACACCCCAAATCATGAAAAAACCTCCATAGAAATGGCACCCAACATCCCCGACCACTGGCTCTGGCTCGGCCTAGGTACACCCTCCCCGTCCCTCCATTACGCATACCCCCAAACTGACCCGATCCCTCAGGCGTCTTCACCTTCATAGCCGTTCAACAAG